TCCGCATCAAGCTAGATGTCTTCGGTGATTGTCAACTCATTCCCCCCAGGTCGAAGTGCATGTTGAAAGAGAGGGCGCTTGGGGTGAGGAAATGGAAGGTGCTTGTTAGCGTTCGGGAGGCGAGATATATTCCATTTCGCCATGATATAAGAGGTCATTATCGAGGATGATACCACAATATCTGTTTGATGTCTTCTTGGATCCCTGTTAAAATGTTTCTTCGTCTTCTCATCTTATAGCTGGAAAAATGAAAATAAATGGCTTTAGCATGAAAATCACAATTCAATATACAAAAAAAAATATTCATCACACAGCTTCTTGCTTTATTCTCTTACTACGCCTCGCGCCAAGTTCGCCACGGTCCTTCTTCGTTTCCTTTGATAGCTGGCTATTTTCCAACTCCGTCTCTTTCACAATATTTAAACTAGCCCCAGGTTCTTGATTAGCATAGTAACCTGAGACAGAGATGTTGCGGAGTACATAAGCAGCCCTCTCAATATCGATAAAAGAGACAGGTGTGTCTCCAGCGCCATTATTTAGCCGTATCCGCAGCTCCTGTGAAGCATCCCACAGCTCTCGATACTCGTTCATATTGTATTTGACAATCAAATCTCCATTGGGCTTCTTATGTTTAGAAGGCTTCTGCTCTTTGGAATCCTGACCCTCTGGAAAGTCCATCAGACATAACCAAAGGTAAACATCGTCGCTGTAAAAGGGGACTTGTTTCTTAGCATCACTAAGGACCGTGGCGATAGACAAAATCAACGATGCAGTAGCCGGGCCGACACCACGAATAGGCGCGGTAAGGGCATCAAGACTGGCTTTAGGAAATGCATCGCTCGGTGCAACTACAGGATCTAAATCCGGGAGGGCGGCGAAAGCCGTAGATGTAGATTTCGTGATCGTCGCGTCTTGGTTGCTTTTCACCATTCCCATAAGCATGGGACGGGAGACTCCATGTTTCCTAAAAAGCAAGTCAGACAAAACCTGAACTTGTGAGTGTGAATACGGTAAGTTTGTACTCACGTCTTCCATTCCATGATATCAACCAACTCCTCTTTAAGCAAGTGCGCTCCTTCCGGCGTACTCCCTTTCTGCCCGCCCCCATTCGCCCGATCCGCGATAATCTTCGGCAGATCTTCATATCGCCACCGGTCAAGTTGGAGGAACTTATCCGTCTCTTCGAGGATATTCTTCTCCTCGGATGGATCGAGCCCTGCCTTCGTGGTCGGCGCTACGGTGACCTTCGTCTCCGCCTTGCGCTTTGGTCCCTTCCCTGACTTTGATTGGAGCTTCAGCGTTAGCTTGTCGCGGTGCACTCGCTCTACCGTTGAAGGGTAGTGGGATAGCAGGTTGTGGAAGGTCTCGAGGGTGATATGGCGGGGATGGAATGATCCTTGTTGTTTGTTGTCATTCTCTCTGCTATTAAGGTGGTCTTGGGTTTTCTCTGACTGGACATGTAGTGCCCTTAAGCTTTTTGTTTCCTTTGCCATGGTGGGGTTTACTGAGGGGAGGCAATTCGTTTTGAGGAGACGTTGGAAGGAAGTTGAAGCTTATATGGAGATTGTCGATAAGCTGTTATCGCGAATGATAAGGACCAATGTGATTTTTGGCCTAGCTGGTGCCTGAATTATGCCTGGTTCTAGACCGCTTTTTTGACCGCTCTATACAATGTATTGTAAATGAAGCGATTCCCCTCATCACTTTCGTCATTTTCATCACTTTCATCATTTCACCATCATCGCCCCGAAGCTATTTAGTAAGATAGTACCCAGCACGCGGTATCGAGAGTTTTACCATCTTCGCCTAAGTAAATGCGGATGAAAACTTTCGAATAATGAGCGACAAGCGGCTACAACAGTAACGGTGTTAGACTCGGCAAATAGTATCAAGACTAGACGGAGGGCGGAAGACGGAGGACGGAGGTATACCTTAAGGCAAGCGTAAAACGGTGATATAAAGAGTGGAGGAGGGAAGAAAATATATTCATTGCTAGGTCCGCTGTTAGACTTGGGCACTTTCCAACCTTGGAAGGTTGGGTACTTTGCTTAAAGACACCTGTCATTGTAATTCAGGTATTTTAATTTCTGCCTATTCAAAATAAGGCACCATTAACACATTTTCAGGCATGAACTAGGCCAAAAAGTCAATTGGGACATTGGCCGTTATGCCCTTTCGCACCCCATATCAAGGGAGCGCCTTAAAACGACTCAGACACCCTATTTTTATGGAGTTCCCTTGATGTTTTCTCGTTAATTATTCTTTCACCTATCAGCAAACGTAACAGACACTTTGAAATGATGACTCCGTCAGAAAGGCTTCAGACCCCCGAGGGTCGTTCTCGCCTGATCAAACACTTCGAACAAAGGTGGGGGATTTTTCATGTTCTTTGAATTGAGAGAGATCTGACAGCTCGCAGTTCGATCGAGGACCACAATGATGCATGGAACAACCTATGGGAGACTGATAACAGTGACATGTGGGACAGAGGGAAGCCGTCACCTGCCTTGATTGACCTTCTAGAGCAAAGAGAGGACATCTTGAGCCCAATTGCAGCTAACGGCCAGAAGAAGAAGATTCTCGTACCTGTAAGGGGTCTTCTTTTCTATTTCTCACAAATGCAGGAAACTTACTCTCCGTAGGGATGCGGAAAAGGCTACGATGTGATTATGCTTGCTCTGCATGGATTCGATGCTGTTGGGCTCGAGATCTCATCCAAGGGAGTTTCTACTGCAGAGGAGTACGCACACAAAGAACTTCAAACGCCACAACCGTATAATTTTGGGTCTGCTTGGGCGAGTAAGTTCGAAAGAGGCTCGGTATCTTTCATCCAGGGCGATTTCTTCCAATCGGACTGCACGAAAGAGGAGAAGTTCGACGTAATTTATGACTACACTGTAAGTCATCCATGAGGCCTATAGTCCTCAACACATAAACTAACTCAAGCCAGTTTCTATGTGCTCTTCATCCGGAAATGCGTTCTCAGTGGGCCTCACGTATGGCTGACCTGTTGTTTTCGGGTGGACTGCTGGTTTGTCTGGAGTTCCCCCTCTTTAAAGAACTCAGTCATCCAGGCCCACCATGGCCCTTACAAGGCGTCCATTGGGATTTACTGGCTGAGGGTGGTGATGGAATCCTATATCCCCCTAAACCAGCCCAACAACAGGTGGCAACAGGTTCTTTCGAGAGGAAGTGGTATATCAAGCCCGAGAGATCGTACGAGAGCGGGAAGGGAACCGATATGTTGAGCATTTACGCAAGGAAGTAAGCGCCAAACGTTTAGCAATTGCATCCTTTGGATGTCTTCAATTACATTTGCTGAAGTACGTTGGGATGTCTTGATGGGCGTGATCGCGTCAAACTGCCCCGAATTGAAGAAAACACTATCCTTCATTCAAAATTCCGCTGGAAGCGTTCCTGGTCCACTCGACTGTTGGCTTGCTCATCGTGGACTGAAAACTCTTCACCTCCGTGCTCCCGTCCTATCTCGTAGTGCTGGCGATAGCAAAAATATTGGCGGCGACGTCACTTGTTCTGAAATCTCTCCTTCCGAATTAGGCATAGTAGCACTCTGTCAACAAAGAACAAAGGAAAGCAAACAAAGAACGATCCTCGACATGTGACAAAAGCATGTGCCAGAGCATGTGATAGAGCATGTGATAGATGTAGATATAAATACCTACTTCCCCTCCCACTTCCTCCTTTTCTTCTTTTTCCTTCTCCATACCACTCCGTGTCCCACATCGTGGTTCCCGTTGAGTACCCTTCAATTTTTTGTCACATTTGGTTCTGGCTTCAGGTCTCTATTCAACATATTGATGCTGTTGTCAAGTGATCGGTTTATCCTGATGACTCTGGCGGGTCTCTGTAGGCGGCCCTTGCCAGGCTGCGAATGGCACGAAGCATGTCTGGGAGGTAACAGGTGTAGGCTCCCCGGAGCTGAGGCACTCCTATGCACCGCTGCGGAAACAGACTGTACTGGCTTGGGTGCTCCCGTTGTCCGCCAGGAGCCGAACCAAAGGATCTTCAAACTAGGAAGGGGCTCTGTTCTCATCTCCTTCGACATTAATTTTTGGAACCTTTATAACAGAGATAGCTCTCTGTTGTCCGAAGAATTTTCTGAGGACATTTGCTTTCAAGGTTCCTTTTTATGGTTCCACATCCTGTTATTCAGGTCGTCTATCCTTTCCTTCAACTATTGTTGGGTGCATGGGTGCCTGAGGCAGATGGCCTCACATGAGACAGATCCGCATGTAGTAGATGCTTCTCTCTCTCTCTCTTCTCTCTTTCTCCTCTCCGTCCATCCGCTTTGAGATGAATCCTACCGTGTTACTACCGTGTTGTTTCTCCATCTCTGAATCGCAACTCCGTAGGATCTCTGTTAACTATCCCGGACTTGGTGATCATCCCGACCGAGTTCTTTGCACAACCCCTTTCTAAGGCATTCTCACTTACAATACAAGTCATCATACAAGGCGCATAGAAGGGGACTTGGTGGGTACTAATCCATTACATTCAATTCGTTTCGGAAAGCAATTATTACACCTGCAGGCCTGTCATTGCCTTGTATAAGTGTACTTGAGGGCGTATCATCTTTTCAGAGAATTAGGGAGAGGTATCGCCTAGTGGCATATAGAGGAATAGAGTGCGTATTGGAGAGAATAGGGTAAAATTGGTCAATACGAGTGGAGTATCCATGTCGACATACGTTATGACCAAAAGGGTAATTAGAAAGGCGTACGGGAAACCTCGGCAGGTTCCTACCTCAAGTTAGTATCACAACTTTTGTCAACCTATTCCCTTTTCTTTCATAGTGACTTTACCAAACTGAAGTGGCAATAGCAAAAGCCGCGAGAAATTGGGATGATCCGTGAGTGAAAACCCTTACTCTTCAGTGTGTTGGCTCTGTGGACTAACGTTTATAGTGCTATTTCTGGTACCCATTGGTTCCGTCTAGATTATTGCGATGGCACTATCTTCAAAATTCAAAACAATTCTTCATGAAGAATAGCCATCTGCGAGCTGAGATCATACTTGATCGTGCGGATGAGACCTTCATGCCGGGAGATGTTGTTTGGGGATCTGTAAAAATATTCGTTATTCAGGATATCGAGGTTGCTGAAGCTTATGTTTCAACCGAGGGTATGTTCCTCGCTATTGGAATACATTAATTGGTTTACTAAGTATCCCAGGAAGCACTTTTATCGAACTACAACGTGCTGGTATGGGCAGTGCTCAAGGTGTTGTGGTCACAACGGAGGAACGAATCTTCTTAAAGACAGAGGAGAAATTAATAGGTAACAAAGAGCGACCTGCCATGCTTATCGGAAAGGGAAAATCAGAAATACTAGCATTCAAACTGAAAATTACACTTTGTGCGAATCGGATATGCAGTCACCACGTTGACAACGAAGAACTCCGAGAAGAACATCGGCTACTTCCTCCCTGTCTTTCAATTGGTGGCCCTGATACAGTGAAGACTCGATATCGTGTCAACTTTGTCAGTAAGGAAAGATCTATGCATAGTTTGCATAGTTCGTTCACCACACAGGCTGTCGCTCGCAAATCGATCGTTGTGCTTCCCACCCGGTCGACTCGACCAATGCCTCTTTTCACAGGTCCACGGTCCAAACAAAAGGACCAAAGGGCTTTGTTTAGGACATCAGTTTTAAGGGAAATGCAAATTTTATCGCATCAGCCATCGGCGATAGTTTTTGATGCCCAAAAAGCAGGACCATTTTCAACTGAGGCAATATCTGAGGACTTGGTATTGAAAGTCACGTCGAAAAGCGAAGCAGACCTCAGTTCTTATACGTGAAGAGGAGTTCTACTTCCTTGTCGTTTTTATCCACCGTGCCATGGAATGGTATTCCGATGATACACCCAGGACTAGGGTCAATTATGAAACGGGGTTTACTCGAGAAAAGTTCAAGTTGTCCAAATTCAAGTTACCACCTATAAATTGGGAGAAAGTAACCGATGGTGGTTCGGGCAAGGCAGACGATCAGGATAAAACTGTTTACATATGTCAGTTGAATGTCCATATATACTCCACTGTTGATATGGATATGGCCCCCACGTTTTACTCCTGTTTGACCGCACGTCAATACTTTGCGAACTTCTCTCTGTCTTTTCGTTCTCAGGGATTGGGGCGATCTGTCGATTTCCGTAGAGCTTCCTCTTGATATTGTACATATTGATAGTCGGGTGCAGTGTCAGGAATAGGGAAATAGAAGCCTTAGGAATTGTCCACACAACCGGCGGTCCTCTTCATATTGGAGATCTGTGCTTTGGTAATCGTACCTTTAGGTGGCTTGAGGCTTTCCGTATGGAAGAGGGCTCCGTGTCTAGCTAGATGTTTCGTTTCCAGTTATACCCCTCGCCACTCTGTGAGGTACACGTGCGAAGGTGTATCCAGGCCAGGTCGGAAACTAATATTAGTAGCATTGATGCCTTCATGTGCCTGAATATTTGCCGGCAGAAAATATGAATATCTGAATTACCATAACAGTGCCCTTCGTAAGTAAAGTATGGCGATTTACACGGTCGGGATCGATGAGGATAGACAGGGGGCAGTGGAATTGATGAGATTGGCGATATGTATGAATATGGTATGAGAGGCTTCAACGGCTAGAAACTGAAGATTTCAAAGATTTGTGTAGTGGGAATAAGCTTCAATATTACCCGGGAGGCTTGAGCTTCATTTAGAATACATTACAATACAATGTAAGAGCGGTGCCAAAAGGCGGAATATAATCAGACATCTTAAGGCATCTTCAGGCAGCAATATTAGTAATAGTTTGTTTCAGCCCCCTGGCCAGGATGCACCTTCGCACGAGACCTATAGGCTTGTTCCTTTCCCCTCCCCCCATCCTTTCATCCTAGTCGTCCGTCGCATTGACCACTTGCGGTCAAAATGGAAAGATAGTATTATTGAGCCTTCTAGGTCCATCTGAGACATTAGCCACTTCTTATCCCAGACCTTCAAAGACTTTCTCAGGCAAAACCATTCGTTCCTTCCCTGTAAGTCGTTTGTATTGGTATACATCGGGCATGGATAGGAGAGTAGACGAAACATCTGATTCCAAGGCCTGTCTATGGTGTCGAAAACAGAATACACATTCTGCCCTGAAACCTCCTAATGGCTCTTCGACTGATACAAGGTTCCCAACACAATAAGATAAAGGTCTTGATCAAGATTTTCATATTTTTCATATCATGAATCAAAATCCGAAAGCGTATCACTATATCATGCGGCATGGAAGGTAATAGTGCCAGTGAACATGCACTATTTGATCATGTCATTAAGATCAACGAGCGAGGAAGACTCGTCTATCATCTAATGGCAAAAAGTACCCGCGTCTTACAAATTAATACGAGCTGAATTCGACCACAGCCCCATCAGGCCTTATTCTTCGCCCCCACTTATTCAGGGGTTTCGATCGCCGCCCCCTTAGGACCCTCCCCACTTCATCCACTGGTTCTGTTTATTTTTTTTCTCTGGGACTGCTCTTAAGATATTGCTTGATCTTATATACTCCGTACACGCGATCCTGTCCGCGATCATGTCTGAGGAGGAAATGCGAGCTGGCTGGGCGATCCGCCGGTGGCGCCCAGATAGTCAAGAATGCCCTGATGGAGAATTTGGTGACAAGACATGGGGCGATTGGTTTGGATGCTGTCCAGAGGAAACATCGGCGAACCAAACTGGGGGTAATACACAGTGCGATCGTGGCAATATAATGGGCGACTCCACGCCAAAAGATCAGTGTGCCAACTCAACATGGACCCTTTGGTACCATAAAGGATACTTCTGCTGCGATAGCGAAGGTGACGACCGGGGCTACTTCTATCCGGACGATTCTGTCGGCTGTGCGAACAATTCCTGGATCAACGACGCTCCGAGCGACGTGTCGAGAGCGGGTTCGCGTCCCAACCCTCCCCCCGGTATGTTATCAGTCTAATTTCTACGTTTTGACGTCAGGATAAGGAAACTAATGCACCAGAAAATAGCGAGCTCGGCAACAGCCTCTTCAACTCCAACTCCAACTCCAACTTCGACAACCTCTTCAACCCCAATCCCAACTTCAACTTCAACAAACAAAGGTGCTATTGCAGGCGGTATAGTTGGAGGAGTTTGCGGAGCACTCCTAATCGTGGGGCTAATATGGCTTTTATGCCGTCGCCGCCGCCCAAAAACGCTCAAGACCGACGAGGCAGCCCCGGTGACTTCAAACAGCCCTTTGCAACAAGACACTCGTCACATGGGATTTCCGAATGAGCTAGAGGATACCAACCGCGAACCGTCGGAAATGGACAGTTCCCGTGAGCTCAAGGAATTACCACCTGCATTGCAACCACGTTCGGAGCTTCCTTAACATTTTGACCCCGATGTGGATTCTTCGTACATACTATGATTTCTTCGTGAACTTAGTAAATTGATCTTGAGTTTCATGTCAGTAAAAGTGTGTAACTGCCCATATAGAGATAACTGTACCAACATACTTCCATTCCCAGGATTTATGGGCAACGCATCTAGATCCCGACAAGAAATTGTGGCCTGAAAACATATCCAGATCATACCATACCGCTTCTTACTATATAACTAGCTAGATCTCTACATCGCCCACAAATGGGCTGGGACCCCCGGCCCAAATCCCAAATCCCAACCCACAGTGGGGCTATATGCCCAGTCTCCAAAGCCCAACCCAACCCAAAGCCTATTAATGGGGGCCCATCAAAGCTATCAAAGCCTATTTCTATGCACAAATATGGTATTTGTAGATACAAAGTAGCTAATTTATGGCTGTACTTTACGTATATACAAACCTTTATATTCAGCACCATCATATTATTATAGCAAGAAGTAGGAATTGAGTAGATATTATACTGAATTTTAGCATTATGATGCTAGGTTTTATACAAAGCCACCCTAAAATATCTAACTCGACCACAAATTCGTACCTAGGACGATGGCTCAGTATTAGCATGAAGAGATATATATAATGGGTTGTTGGCATGTGACGATGGTGAAAATTAGGGGAGAAGCACTGACAGTATAAAATCATTCTATGTCATATACACTATGTAAGAATAGACTCTGCTTCTCATACACGATTACTGTGCTTCATACAACTTCAGAGTTTCCCCATGTGAAAATATAATGATTGTCGTATGAATGTTTGTTGTATAGTTCGGTGCTCGGGTTCCGAATCCCCGATCCCGAGGTCCCGTTGCATTCCGCTGACTCAGCGGATCTGCCCCTGGCACTGGAGAGCTTTCAAAATTCCGGACTTTCAGACTCTTGGACTACATTCCAAGTGCTTAACTATCATCATGGCTGAACATCCCTCCTTCACTCTTGCCGCCCTTCGTAAGTACCTGCGGGTAATGAAACAAGTTAACATTGCTGACCAAAACCAGTGCCTATCGGAGGTACCGTTGGCTTTCTGCGAACCCGATCAGCGCCTTCCTTGATTGCCGGTGTTGGACTCGGCATATCATATGCCTATTCGGGTAAGTGAATACTCCCGCCATTGCGTGCCGAAATTTAAAACTGACTATTGCTAGGTTATTTGATCAAGGAGAACAAGGACTACGGCACTGAGCTCGCCCTGGGAAACAGCATCCTCCTTCTGGGCTCTGCAATCCCTAGGATCATCAAGACAAAGGCTAGGGCTGCTATGCCTCTCGCTCTCGGTGCAACTGGATTGTTAGCATCCTTCTACTACCAGAAGAAGGTGCGGGAGTTCCGCTTCGGAGTCTAGATTCTACTATCCCATGGTATTACTCCAGTAACAGCACATATGCTTTGATTAAAGGTAGCAGTCCCTTTTCTCGCGGCGCTTCTATGCGAAAATGGTTGTACTGAGGATCGACCTGGCTGTTAAAATGCGAGTAATGTACCGAATTTGAAGAATTACGTTGCAGTTCCAGCGTTAAAAAAAACCAATGTCATGTTAACTACTCGGACTTACACTGAAGTTCTCAACATCACTTTCCAGTAGCGCCTAGATACAGATCTAGCTAGGGTACCCTTAACACACTGTATTATATAACTAGAGTTGTCTAACTATCATAATTGGCCTTCATATAACTCATCTACACTACCTCAAGCTTGATCTTATCGCAGCACTACCTTAGCCTTCCTAGCCTCGTCCTCAATTGCATCAATATCTTTGCCCGTAGTATGCAGGAGCCCAAGCTGCTCCTTATGTTCGCAAGCCAGCACAGCAAGCGTCGAAGACTTCCACAGAGGGACACGGCGGCTCCGGCGATTACTCAAAATACTCAAAATGGCGAACAAAATCGCTAACCCTTCAGTGACAATGGGAACAATGAAGTACCCCCACCGGATGGAAACAAATGCCTCACTCTGAATTCTTTCTCCATGTGCCGACTGGGTATTTGGACCATACCGCACATAGTTCGTCATAGCAGTCGCCATTTTGTCGAACCGGTCGCCAAGGTCCACATCGCCTTTTAGAGTAGCGGCGACACCAAGGCCCGTATTGTCAAAGTTCCCATCGACCCACTCAGTAGCCATTGTCGTGGACTGGAAGAAATTTACCACTGCGTAGATACCGGAGTAGCTCATTTCAAGCCCAGGAATATGGATATCACCACTTGTTGACTCGTTGGTGTACACGTGTTGGAACTTGCTTTCCCTTCTCTCGTTCAAGATGCCCCAGGGATTCCTCACGCCGAAATCGACCTCTCGCCTCTTCACAGAGAAATCGCTACCATTGGCCTCGACACCCGTGTATTCGTAGGCCGTGAGAGAGAGAGAGCACTCTGTGACGTTGATGTCGAGCATTCTAAAATTGTAATCGGGACTCGATCTGTAGATTCCTATCCGTGCGATTTCGGGAAAGGTTTGTGGCAGCCCAATTCTTGATGAGTCGAACTCCACCAGTGAGGATGCATTCATATAGAATGCTGTCGCCAAATCGGTATGCGCGTAGCTAGTTGAAACGGTAACGCCGCCTGGTGTTGTCATGTTGCATCGTTGCAGCGAAGTTCGACCACCCTCGCAGGAGGGAGCTTGCAATGTTTCCTGGGTGACGTTCCTGCACTCGGCCTTAAATCCAAGTGATATGTATGAGTCGGTCCAGCGACATTCCCCGGGGCAATTGAAAGGTTCGGTGGTATTGACGCCATACAGGCCCTGGAAAATGGCGGACTGCATTTGGGGATCCTGCGGGATGCTCTCTAGTGAGGATAATGTTAGCTGTACTTGTTATTTTAGTTGTTTGGATTGTCGATACTTACTGATACCAGAGTTAGCAAGCGGACTATGTTCATTCATGGTGTAATTGTGCGCATATCCAAAGGTGACGGTGTTTGCAGGAGAGATGACCGGTCGCTGCTCAATTAAAACCACCTGTTGTGCAAATGGTGAGAACGCAAGCCGCAAGATCGTGACGAATCCACCGATGGTGGCTAGGTTCCATTTGACAGTGGTAAGCAGCAGAATAGACCCCCAAACACCCCGACTCGCGCCGTCAAAAGTTTCAAAGTCGGTAAGCTTGCGAGGCCCGTTCCTGAAGTGAAGCCATTTAGACTGTCCAATAAATGCGCTAACACCGTGCATCAACGCCGTGGTGCATGCAGTTGTCAGGATCGAAACTGTCGCGTTGAGAGAGATGCCGCCGCGCCAGGCAGAGAGAGGCTTGTTGTCCATATACCAGAAGATAATCGCAATACCAATGAGGAGGAACAGGGCCAGAATCGAACTGATCGATTCCAAAAGCCATTCACTGGGAGAGTAGACCGGGTTGCGCTTATATTCAGTGGTGGTAGCAGTTTGTGGCTCAGTGTCTACATCAGAGATCTGAGTAGGCTCATATGGATGAGCTTTCGGGTCACTGTCAAATCCGGCCATGGCGACAGCCTGTAGCTATGGGTCTGCGATATAAATTCCCTTTGAGCGATATAGTCAACATCAACTGCGAAGCGTAAAGCTGGCTGGTTGATTTATGGCTTACTTCTCGCTTTGACAAAAGATAGCCTTAATGGTGCTCGGCGATTCTACAAGGACTTTTAACGAAAAATGTTTGTCCTTCCGGTGGAGTCTGCTGAGGGTTTGTCATCCTTTCTTACTTCGAAAGGGGAAATACTCCAAACGCCACAAAATCAGCTACTCGTATTGCTAGGGTAGAGATAGTTCACCTCCAATTACTCTGTAGTGGAAAACGAGAACTGCGATCATGTTTACGGCTGAAGACGAACATGGGCAAGAAAATTCCTGTCAGTTCTCGTATTCCCCCACTCAGCCCCCACAACGCTAGAGTTGGCAGTGCTGGGCATCGCCAGGTCAACCTATCAGCGGTGGTATATTTACTCTACAAAGGGGCCAAATAGAAACGTATCTGCCAAGTCAAGCCTTCATTTCGCAGGTGAGCAAAGGAAAGGTCCTTGTGGGTAATGATAGATGGGACTCCCTCTGTTGTTCCCTGTTCCCGAACTCATTTCGTTGTGTAATTTACGGCATCAGAAACTACACTTGAAATCCCCTGCCGTTTGGGTAGTTTTGGGTGGCCTCGGGGGCTCAGGTTGTAGGTAAGCACCAAATCATACCTTCCAAACTTGGAAGGGACCAGCTGAGTCACAATCAGACCTGCATTAGTTAGGTAGCACATCGGTGAACTTAATTTAACCCAAAATTGGCATTTGACTGGGATTTGCTCACTCCCAAGCGAGGGTTCGAGACGGGCCAGCCCGTTTTGTCCAAGCTCAGCCCCGGTTTCCGGTTAGCCCGCCTTCTGATTGGCTAAAATCAATTTACACTATCCCGTTCCAATCTTCATGCATTGAGACTAAGCCAACTTAGGTTAAACCTCGGAACTAGGTGTCGAAGGCCCCTGTGCACCCCAGTCAGTCGGCCTAGCTTTGCTTATATATATATTTTTTTAAAAAAAAAAGAAAATTTAGAATATTAGGCTTTTGCTGACCGTTGAGGCTGAGCATTTTAATAGAAGGCGTGCCCGTATCTGAAAAATGATGAAGTCTCAATAAAGTCACCATTTGAGGTTCACTCTTGACAAGATAGTTCTCTAGATCTCCGGGAGCGACCATGTTACTCCTTCTGCTCTACATTGTGGCATGCACCCTGTTTCATTTACAGGGTGCTACAGCACTTCCTCAGGGAGTAACCCCGTCTCAAGTCTCGAGCGAAGTATCCGCCACACCCACAGGAATGTCTGTTGTGGGGAATGAAAGAATTTGTGACTTTGATACGATGAACGATTTCTTCGATTACACGAAAAGGAACGGTCTAAACATCACCGTGGAGGTCCAGAACTGCCAGAATCTGTGCTTGCTCACGTACGGGGTTGGAAACCCCGATCTTTCTGGGATCGGCGTAAGTTCGCGAACACAATCCTTTTCCATTTTTTGCACCAACGTAGCTGATCGCTGCTTGTAATCTAGATGATGTATGCATATAGCATACAAACTGGACTCACTATCCTCGTCGGTCCTGTTTATCGTATGCTCTATCACACCCTAGCGCCAGCGAGCCACTTCGTCCGAGACTTAAGAGACATTCAAACGAATTTCTTCTCCTCGAATGGCTTCTTCGTCGGTTCATCTGCCCTAGCCACGCTCGCAAACCTATCACAGAACCCATCTACCTTTGAGATTGCCGAGATGCAGGCCATGGCATTTCTGCAAGTCAACAGCATCCTCGTGACTTTCTTCTGTCTGATCGTCGCGCAACCAATTTCGCGCTGGGCTGCGCGGGTGCTGCTATATTTTATAGTGTTTGTCCTCGTGCTTGTCGCCCTTGGCCGTAGCCACCTAGGCAGCGACAGTAGGGAAAACTGGAGACTTGCCTCTGATGGCTGCGCGCACAGCTCAACAGACTATAGCGTCATAAACCCCATCCCGTATCCATCATGGACTGTCGTTATCTTTGCTGTCGCGGGTACGATGGCGTTCTGGATACAATCTCTTAAAGAGAAATTCCAGACGGACAAGTTACGCAAGTCGATGTTTAGGTTACTGATCCTGTTTTGGGTCATGTTGATTGGACTCTTGACTGCAGGCATGGTGGTTGGGCTAACGATGATGTGGCGACAACGAAGGCATTTACGAAGCTTGGCGAGAGACCAATTTGAGGACGATCAGTGGGGATTCGGACAGATTGCTGCTTTGACGATCTGGGCACCCATTCCGGTTGAATTGCTCTATATTCTGAATGGTGAGTAACTCCAGGGGTCTTGATACTTATTAGTCTTATTTGGTCAAGCTAACAGGTGGATCTTCTTACAGACTTGGCCCAACGGAAATCCGAACGATGGAATCACTTGAATAAGGTCATTAGCGTTTTCTTCTCTCCGAAGGCTTTGCAGGAAGACCAAGGTACACCCAGCTCCAACCCACAACCCGAAATGAAAGACCAGGGTGGACGGGGACGTTGACACCAGCTAAGCAATTTTCCTGCATCCGTTACGATCCTCTGTATTACTCCATCCATAGTTCACTGTCGAATATATTTTAGAATTGGTAAGTGATAGCGGCCTCTATGTAGAGACCCTCGCTATAATTAGCCAATAATATACCTATTAATCTAACTATCGTAACTATAGGATAGGTTTAAATATCCTAGTAAGCGAAGTAGGGGTTCCTTTCACCGAAATTCGAACACTATAATCTTTCATATGTAGAATAGAAGTCTATAAATTTCAAGCTTGATCCTGGTACGGGATGGAATTCCAGTCTATATATTCCAGTCTATATGGGGCCACTTCTTTCTCCTATAGTAAAGCAAAACCCCTAATTCTAGTCTAGTACACTCCGCTCACCCGCATGGGATGGGAGATAGGATAGGATAGTGTTAGGAGAGGTCTACGTTCTGGACGTCGAAGTGCATGGTGCAATGTGAGGTTGATTGAAGAGTTGAGAGTTGAGCCACAGAAGCTAAGAAAGAGACTGAGAAATCTGACATCCCCCACGAACATGGAATCATGGACCCGTGTCCCTCCACGAAGCAAACCCGGTTTTCGAAAATGTGGTTGTAGCGTACGATGGGGTTGCTAAGAGCATTGGCTGTAGTGGACTTGTTGGTGGTAGTAGAAGTTGAAGCCGGAGTGTTGACTGCGTTAGCTGGCGGATGGAGAGGTGCGTCGAAGGAGAGGTATTGACCGCGTGGCTAGCGGACTGTTGTTATGAGGGAGCGTTGAAGGAGGCGTATTGGCCGCGGGGTTAGCGGATGGAAGGGTGTGTATCGAAGGAGAGGCACTTGTTATTGACCGGGCTCGTCTGGTCACGCAGCTCGTCGAACTCCCATAGAATGACAGAAGGTCATTCGCACAGGCAATCCAGTTTTCTACCTCCGCAATGGTGGCTGCGATTTCTGCAAACACCTCGTTCTTGTCGAACTCTTGCTTGGGAAAAATGGAACGCCCAACGCATTGCCCCAGTGCGTTCATTCTTCGCAGAAATATTGGGCTATTCAAGGACCCGGGGAATCCCATAATGTTGTGGTGCGCAATCCAACAGCCTTGGAGGACTTTGCAAGCCACAGTCAGTATCGTGTGTGGGAGGGAACGAGAATGTATACGTGCAGTTTGTTGTTGGGCTAATTGTATTCATCCCAGAGTAGGGGCCGTAGTGCCAAAGAACCTGGGGGAGGTGGTTATTCACCATTTGCCACCACGGGTGCTCTTGAGGTAGACTGGCCATTATGGTGTTGTAAAAAGCCTTCATGCTTTCTGTGGGGTCGTCGTCATGGCTGTCGCCAAGGATGAGCATATATGTGTAGTGAATGCTCAGGTCGACCATGACCTTTTCTGGGGCTGTGGACCAACTATAAACAACCATGATGTTGAGCAACCTATGGTATATATTACTACTATGTGTTGGGGGGAAGCAGAGGAAGAATAATCAATTGATTAAACTAGAAATGGAGGGGTTTATATACCCTGTTAAAACCATCTGAACAATGCTAAATCTGGAGCAAGCAAACTAGCAAATAGCAAATAGCAAACAAAGGCTCACTATACAGCAAATAACAAATATGCACATATGACAAACATGCATGCATGGGATGGTTGTTCAACACATGGTAACCATGGCTTGGAGCAAGGGTTTCACATTGCTTGGGCTCAGTTTATGTGCTTCTATCTGTCGTGATAAGAAAAGTGCTTGGACGTCTTGGTATACACGTATTGGAGCTTGGCAGGGCCCTCTTCGGGCGTATAATTTGTGTCGCTATAGTATATCGTGTCCAAAGTTCGACCGACGGAGTTCAAATAGTAGTGAAGCCTTGAGTCGCCATGGTTACTGCGTCTCGAGAGGCAAAGATTGATACGGGTGACAGGATTCCTTCGGTAGATGTGGGCAAGGAAGGTTATGCGAGCCAGAGATACCACCCAAACAGACATGAATGATATTTAGACAATTCGAAATTTGTCATATATCCCATGTATTCTGGGAAGTATTAGGTCATTTACCGTGCAACGGTTTACCGCGCAACAACCGATACCTCCGAATACTGTGAAATGACGCCTTGGATTGAAGCAGGTGGGGTTTGACGAAGCCCAAACCCCAAAAAGGCAACGACAGTTCGATGAACAATTTCAAATGCCTTGAACCCATCCAAAGTTCCAACCATTGATTGGATGGCAGGGAGTTTTTGAGCAGGCAGACCCAGCAAGTTCAACAGGAACGGCAAGTCGGAGAATGCGTAATGCTGAGCCTTAGCCAATTCCAGCTCTAATTTCCATCCCCGCAGATGCGACCAAAACTCTTTCCACGTTGGGTCTGTCGTCTGGGTTTTATTTTCATGTCCGAAGAGGAGGAATGGACCACGAAGCCCTTGCCGAACCACTGGTCCAAACATTGACCCGTCTAGGTTCGCTCCAGCGACAATCCGATGGTCCAAATGCATGGCTTCGGCAGTGGCCGCACCCCCAACTGAGTGGCCATACATCGCGACTCGCCCAGTTCTCAAACTCGGGGCACCTGTCCCAGGAAGTAGAGTTGCGACGCCAGCCTTGTTGCTCAGCTGATCCAACACGAAGGACACATCTCGCGCTCTGGTCTCGACATCCAGTGGAACCTGTGCGTCACTAATATTTGCAGCCATCACGACGCTTCCGTCCGGGAACTCCAGTAACTCAGTATCGTAGGGATGGTCGATAGACACCACGATGAACCCGGCGCTGGCCACAGCCTGTGCAATAACATTGTAGAACAGCCGCGTTGTGCCGAGACCAGGCGAGAATAGCACGACTGGAAAGTGGAGGTGATGGCCTCTTGGAGGTTCTGGGCAGGCCTGGAAAGAGATGGATTGAAGCGACCCATTGGGGAGTCCGTATGCGCCGTATAGGTCAGAGTAGTATGCGGCGGTTGCGGGGGGTAGGTAATCTATCTTCTCGAGATCGACTTTGCAGTGGGTGGGAGCAAATATTGAAGTCATCACTGCACGCGGTCCGTGGTGGGGATCAAAGGGATCGACTCTGGTCTTTTCGATCATTTTTGCCGTGCTGTAAAACACATCGTATTGTCCGGGTGGGTTGGGGATCACCACTGCAGATACAGACATGGCCACAATGGGCAGCAGACTAAGAATGTGGGGCATCATCAGTCACTAGAAGACGCAGTTGAGGATGGAGGAAGGATATGAATAAAGTCTTCTGGAGCTTGCTGAAGTAGGTGATGGGATTCCAACGACAATAGGCAGAGGACCTTCCTGACCTTTATACAGTTGGAGTTGTAGACCAGAATTCTGCCTGTCCGCAAAGCCCCAGTAGCAACTTTTATCTCTACCAAATTCAATGAATTTCCCGAATAGGAATCTATAGAACGACATAAGTCACCCAGACCAATTAGGTAATCTTGGGTGGACCAAGGCGGGAACCAAAGTGGGTCCTTGTCTCGCGATATTACTTCCTAATTGGGTTAGCGCCATCGGGCACATCGCGGCCTGCTGGCAGGTCTCGCTCTAATATATCCATTTTCATCGTAATACCCATCAGGGATACGTGCCATTTAGGTGTTTGTTAGACATTTCCTCAACATCATGTCCGTATCAACAAAGTTCCAGGGGAGAATGGTCGGTCCCCTGGACAAGCGAAGGCGGATGACGCGCTGCCTCGCCTGCGCCAAACGACGCATCAAGGTCTGGGGCCTGAAACTCCAATTCTATAGGGTCAATGAAGCTAACCTTTAATAGTGTGAAGGGGGATTCCCCTGTGTTCATTGCATTCGACGAAATACGATGTGCGTTTCCCAGCAGCACTCGGGACATGGTATGACTAAGTTTGTCAACAAAAATCAGCAAGATGATTTTGGTGGACGCCACCAAAGTCCTGATCAGAAGGGGTTATCCATCCCAAATACGGAAACCCTCGGGATTCGCCCACTTATTTTCATCGGGAAAGATAAGGGTACCCGCCTTCTTGATTATTTTGCCTCTTTTATTGAGCACAACATGTTCACGATGAGCTTCGGATCAATAGTTCCGGACTTGCTTCCTCTAATTTCAACATCCCCAGTTCTGTACCATGCAGTTATAGCGGTTGGTGCTTTGCATGCGAACCGACATACCGATGGACGCGCATTACAGGAGAAATCCCCCTATGTCGATTCGATGACCTCTTACCATAGGTCAATGGGTATTTTGCGGTCGTGTCTGGGAAATAGAGATGTAATGCAAAAGGAGGACATCCTCTGGGCTACGTTTTTTCTAGGACTGTTTGAGGTATGGTTCTCATCGGATAGGGCATCATCTAGTAGATGCATTAAAATACGTCTTTGACTGACATCAATACAACTAGTTGCTCTCAGACGAATCCGGTGAAGGCTGGGTTAAGCATATGCTCTATGGAACATCAAAAATGCTGCAACTTGTCGGACCAACCAATTGCATGTCATCGGCTCGAAGGATATTCTACGACCTGTTTCGTGTCCTTGAAGCCAGCCGAGCATTACTCTATAATGAAGAAACTATCCTGTCCCAGGAATGCTGGCTTGGACTCCAGAAGTCATTGCCGAGCAGTGCCACTCGATGGGACTCCATGGAAGAAATCATAACCCTCATGATTGAGACATCCGCCTTCAGCGTACGGTAAGTCTGCACCGATGAAACAGAGACTTATTCCATTTACTAATCCGGCGGACAGAGCCGGGGCTATAATTAAGATGATTCCCGAAGCAGAACGGTTCACAGATCCATCGGTTGCTATGATCGCAGCCGAAGGACTCGATGTCCAAGAAACTATCTATAACTGGCACACGAAAGCGTTGCTGCAGCTGGTCCAGGACGGTCCCAGTCCGTATTCGAACTTAGCTTTGCTGTATTATCACGCTTTGCTAATCTTTGTCTCTGGAAACTATGATTATTTCCCATACTGGGACAATATCGCAGCCCCGGTATTATCCCATGCTGAAATTTCCGAACACCTGACTACGATGGTGTATCTCTCGGGCGAGGTGTTGTGCCACTCCAAGATTCCCGGTGCGATGCTGCTTTTTCCTTTAACCGTTGCAGGAGCTCGGGCCCGGGGAGTTGATCAAAGATCTGAAATATTGAATCTGCTCAACCAGATCTTCTGTAAGGGATTCGTGGTTGCAAACAAGATACGGGATAATTTGTTAGAACGATGGGGCCGACAGGGACCAGGAAGAGACGATAAATCTGCCCACATGAAATAATCACCATGCCTCAATGTCCCGGGACTAGAAAGTGAATGATGTAGGTTTTATTTCATGAAAGTAAACCATTAAATATCAAACCAAACCAAACTCAGTCGTGCGCATGAGCGTCCAGTTACATTTAGTCCGACTCATGCTGGAAATGCTGCCGACCTAGCTTTTCTGTCTCCATAGTCAATTCCTTCACGAATAGAGAACTCAAAAATCCTAATGCCCCAAATGCTGCCAGTTCATACCATATTGTCTGCATTGCATCCTTGTATGCATTCCGAATGAGGTCCCGTAGAGCAGGGGAGATGTCGGCTATTCGTAAATAGGGGATAAAGCTCACAGCCTTACTAGGGTCTTTCAACGATGCTAAAGAAGTAGGCAATGCGATACCCTTAATTCTGTTGGCGAAGACACTATCGAATGTAGTGGCCCTAACTGCAAGACTAATAAGTGCACCAAACAGTCTGAAAGCAACCATTATTCTTATAGCGAGACCCTGGTTATCGGATGCAGCGCTAGCTTGTATTAGGATTAGAGGGATACTAAATATCGTGCCTATGCTAATCCCCGCGATCACCTAGAAACTAGCGGTTATAGGTATTAAGGATGATTGGTCCTATACTAAGAAGATACTACAACTAACGGCGAGAAATACCTATCTAGTCCAAATCTCCTATAGGTATTCGCGGAAGAAATCAATAGCTAAGGCGGCAATTCCCGTAAAAATGAAGACTATAAAGTAGATAGTAGGATCGAGATAGAAGATTTAAGTAGTGTTTCGAGGTAGACGGCTTAAAAGAATAGTAGAAGATATTACAAAAGAGTATATAGCACAAAGCTATAAATAAAGCTTCTAATAAGAGTTATTTAAGCTATTTTTAAGGCGGAAGGAAATACGGTAGGGGAATATAGCGTCGGTCTAATAACCCTTATAAAGCGCAAATCCTACTAAGATCAAAATACTAATGATTAGTAGGACTATAGTTCTCTACGAGCCCTAAGGATATATATTCCCTACCTAACTAAGAGGTAGGGCGAGAAGAATATAACCTACCGTAAAGAGTAGTATTTTAAGGTAGTCGATACGGCCAATCTAGGAACGGAGGGACTAGTTAATAGGTTTCGGACGTATAAAAAAGACAGCTAAAAAGAGAGCAACGCTAATTATAGGTAGGTTAATCCAGCCGATCTATCGCTACGTAACGTACTTACTAAAGGCTGTACCGAGAATAGGACCCGCGATATAGCCTATAACTATTAGTAGTGATAGTAAACCGATATATATAGCCCTTTCTTAAAGAGTAGTGATCTCGGCCACAATTACCTCACTTAGGACATCTAGTCCGCCTCCGCCTAGTCCTTATAGCACACGTCCGATAATGAGAACTGCTATACTATACGCGACGGCAAATATGATCGATCTAATACCGAAGAGCGTAAACGCCGCGTAAAGGGGGGTCTTCCGGCTAAAGATATCGGAAAGGCTAGTATAAATAGGCTAGATAACCACCACAACCACTATAAAGGAGATATTGGCCCAAAATACGGTCAAGGTCGTCCCCGAAAGGTCATCAGTGATAGCCTATTAAGAGAAGCGCAGTGCGTGAGCAAAATGATTGTTTCAAACAATGCACTGTTTATAAAGCTACCGGGATTGCAACAGCCAACGTGGTGGCATCCAAGGACACCAGAAAGACCATTAATAGCAGAGCTATAAATGCGAGAAAGAACGACAGAGGTTTTCTCTTTCGGCCCTGCTGTCCTGATTCAGGATCGCCTGGTGATAACACATTTGATCCATCGTTATTCCCTGTATAGTCGCGTTCGGATTGGCATTCAGATTGGCATTCAGACTGTGGTTGGCAATAGGACTCAGATCGAGTTTTGAGATCTCCGAAATATGACTGGTCCGAACATTCTCGTGTGTTCGGTGGTGCGGTTTCTATTGGTGAAGACATTGCTTGGGTATCTTAGAAGAAACGGCAGGTTGATACTCGAGTTCCTCCACCGGCGAAGAAAGACAGCTACAAGTACGCCCATAGCTTGCTGATCCAAATTGTTGGTAATGAGGTAGATTTGTAATCGACAATCGTCTGAAGTGGTATCGTGTTGTTGCATTCAAGATTTCGAGTAATAATATTGGGGGAAATGGTGTGATATAATCCTTGTCGTCGGGCTTCATCTCGCTGCCGGCCGAAAATAGCACTTTAAGCGGGTCGGCTAAATATGGACTTGGGAGGTTAACGAAACCTCAAATCATAACAACCTCGGGAGGTCGACCAAATCCGCCCGTGCTTTTCACTCTGTTCGCTCTTTCTTTCTTTTTTGGCGCAAGAGGTGCGTTGGATGGTCGAGCCGGCACTCGTAATTGCAGGACCAAACTCCTGAACATGGGAGCTTTTGCTGACGTACCTCCAATTATCGCGACACGTCTCATTGATTAGTTCGAACATCCAATGAACATCATCCATTTATAGCACCTCCATGCGTTTGTTCATTGCTTATGGAGGGATATGTTTTCCGTCCCGTGGTGAAATCCCGCCCTAGGCCCATAATAGCGGTTTCGCCGAGCAAAATACTGGATGATTGTCTTATGTGCTTTTATAGCTGCATCATCCTTTGATAGGCAGTTTCGATACAATGAATAGTTGTTGTTGAAACAAAAGCCTTAAGACTAATAAAATATATACATATATATGTGTATGCACATGGTGGAAAATATAGAAGAAAAGCCCAAGTCAAATCTATCACCCCGTCTATCATTCCGTCTATCATTCCGTCTATCATTCCGTCTATTGCAATTCATGAGAAAGGTTTCCCTACAAAGATACACCGCAAGGGTAGATCCGAAGGAAAGTAAGAACCATGACGATCCGACCTGTACCGATTCTACCGTGTGCGTGTGTGTACTCGGTGGGTGCGCGATGATGCACAAAAGGCATCAAGTGGCGAGAGGATCAGTTCAAAGCAGCATGATAGTCTGCAAGGACGGCTTCGGAGATCTTCTCAGCCATGCCATAGAAGACGGTCATGACATGAGACGACACCTGGGTTGGGGGAATAGAACCATCAATCACACGCAGACTTTCAACGCCATAGACACGAGCAGCAGCGTCCACGACACCGCCAAGTTCCCTCCTCATCATGGAGCACGTGCCGACTCCATGGTAATTGGGACGGAAATTCTGCTTGACATATTCCACCCATTCGTCGAGAGTAGCGTTGTAGGTAGGTTGTTTCCAGGGATGGTCTCGCTGTTGAAATACTTTGTCATTTCACCTTTGTTGGAAATCTCACGAGCCAACTTCGAGGCTGCTGCTTGACCAAGGATATCGAGCTCATTTAAGAAGTATTGAGGGTCATATGCGAAGCGGCGAAGATAGGGGTCACTGTCCAGGATGTGGACGTAGCCGCGGGTGAACGGAATGAGATCCCAGAGGTCAAGGTTTAGTTTGCCAGCGGTATCAATGAAGATCTCGGCGTAAGAGACGTCTGAGTTGACGAGCCAGTCGCGGTAATTTTCATACTGGATCAGGAGCGCGGTTTCGTTGTGGAAGCCGCCCCGGGAGACAGCATCCTTCGCCCACTCTTCAAGCTTGGTGTTTAGCAGGTGGTGAGCACGAGGTGCCTGATCTCCGAAGGTTTCGTTGAAGGTGGCAAAATACGCAGCCTGGCCCTGGCCAGCACCAATTGAGTTGATAGTCGAGAGGACATTTGTAGTGGTTTGATCTTGGAGATTGAGACCAACGGGCAGCTCAACAAGTTGTTCAACTCCGACCTTGTCGAGAACAGTCTTCAAGCCAACGCCGGAATGCTCAAGGATTTGAGGAGATACGGCTGATCCAGCGGCCAAAAGCACCTCGTGTCTAGCGTGGACGTCATAGTTGACCTTCTTATGTGTGCCAAAGTTGACCCCAACAGCTTTAGGAGTGGAGGTGGTGGTATCGAACAAAACCCGTCCCACCATTTGACCAGTCAAAACCTTCAGATTTTTCCGTTTGTAGTTTGGCAGAAGCCACTCGCGAGCGGCGTCTGACCGAGTCTGATCTTCATGCACATCGTTGGGGAACATCGATATACCATGAGGAACGCCACAGCTGAAATCCTTCTGAACGGGAACACCAGATTCCTTAGCAGTCTCCATGAAACCTTTGATCATGGGCGAGAATTTCTCTCCGGTGTCTCGGGGACCGACGTGGACGGTACCATTGACGCCATGACAGGCAGGATCAAAGTGATGCCCAGCAGCAATCTGAGCAGCGTTCGGGGGACGGGCGGCCTCGACCTTGTTCATATACGGGAGCAGATTATCCCAGTTCCACCCTTCCATCCCAAACACCTCCTCCCAGGAGTTAACCTGGGCCTTGTGTGGACGTGTCCAGGAACCTCCATTCACCAACGTCGAACCTCCCAGTCCTTTGCCTGACCGAATAATCTCAGTGCGGTTGTGAATGGCGAGCGGAATCGTTTCGAAGGATTGGTCGGCGGATGTGGTGAAGATATCACCATAGTGGTTGAGGTTTTCAATGATAGGACCGATGTTCGATTGGTAGAAGCCACTTTCGATGACGAGAACGGTGATGTCGGGGTTCTCGGTGAGACGCGCTGCGACGGTAAGGCCAGTTAAACCTCCACCGGCAATCACATAGTCGAAAGTTTCACCGGCCACCTTTGTTGGATCGGTGAGCAAGCTCGACTGGAGATCGAATTGCTTGTGTGGAAGGGCTGTAGCCACGACCACAAGACCGGACAGCACACTGAGTAACTTCATTTCTAAAGACGGCTCTGACGATCGAAAGACAAAGACGCCGGAAAGTAATGAATGGGATTAATCACAGAATTATCGAACGCGATGAATGGAAGGTTTAGGACATGGGATTGGAACATATTTATAGTTTCGGCCGGTCGATAATAGCAGTGAAGGCTTCTTCCCAAGTACTGCATAGTACACACATGGCCAATCCATCGACCCGCATGTACCTCAGGAATACTCCGTACAGACAACATGCTGGTACCATTGGCCATTATTGGTAGAAGTTCGGAAGTTTACATTTAGAGATAAGGATCTTGGCGTCCAGCAAGGCACCAGAATACATGTAGTTTACCAAGAGAACCTTAACTAATGCACCCCGAAGGACTCTGTTGATCATCTCGGTGAATACAGTTGCACACAAGGACGGAAGTTCGGTCATTCCGTTGGCCTTCCTATATCGGTCTCGGGTATGCTATCGACACCGACTGAATGGTCTGAATGACGGAAATATGGTATTGGCTTCCCGGCAATACCTCGGCATGCCGATGCGCCATATTGCCATATTGCCAAGGATGCCAAGGATGCCAAGGATGCCAAGGCTGCTAACACCGAAGCTTATGGATGATGTGTACCTTGAGGGAAAGGCATATTGCCAACCGTGGCAGTGCGGCCAATCTGGTTTCTGAAAGTTGAAATTGTGGGTGATAATGCTTGGCACTCCACTAGTGATCAGCCCAACTAGCTAAGTGCTGTGATCCTCGTGTTCTTGCAGTCAAACGGACAGACATCCGGTCCGAGCCATCCTTGCCCCTAACGACCTTTCGGTCAGAAACTTGCAGATCATTTGGGTCCACACTGGGTGAAGGTTAACGGGAACTAGTTAGTTCTAGAATTCACTTGCTTTGAAATGACGTCCAGTCAGCCAAGCATCCTTCATCCTTCATCCTTCATCCTGCACCATTGAAAGCCGACAGGAAATAGTTCCAGAATTCGCCTGCTTTGCAATGGTCCCTACTCAGATAAGGGTATTTGATCCTGCACTGTTGGCGGTCAGCGGCAAACAGTTCTAGAATCCGCATGCTTTTTAATAGTCTTTAAGAATAACCAAAGTATGTCTACAAAATGTCAACTAAGGGTTTTTTTTTATCCCACACCGCTGACGGATGGCTGAGAATAGGTCCAGATTTCGCTTGCTTTGAAATGGATTTCGGTCGGCGAAGTACTACTGAATCCCTTAGATCTGACACCCCGAGGAGAGTTAATGATGCGGTTTCTTTCTTCTATAGTACGAGTCTCGAGGGCAATTAATCTTAAAGTCGGGGCATATAACATTGCCTCGAGTTACACTTCGTTGACACGAGACTCGACGCAAGCCAAAGTTACCATGGCACACTGATGGATCGCGCATTCGTCCATCATGTGAAACCTTTGTCGGAGTAATTGCCAACGTGGGTCAACGAACATCCTAGAAGGCCCCACGAGACCCCAGTAATAATAAGACATAATCGATATGGGAGTGTTCCCGCTCCCACCATAGCGACGCGCCATGACTAGGGGGACATGATTGATGATTGTCTTCTCCAAAATTACTGCTTCCTGTACGATCTCCTCACCAAGGTGAAGATAATCAGCAATATGTTAGAAGGCCAGACTGCTACCCGGAAATAATCAATGGCATGGATCATACGTTCACCCCTGATTGTCAAGGCGTCCTCTATTCTTTCTAACCACTGTGACGAGCTAGTTATATAGATAAACATCAATCAAGTGTACTTCAAAAGTTTTTAAACACTTACCGGAATCGTAGCCTTGCCCAGCGCTCAGCAAATTCCAAAATTAGTTCAGCCCAATTGGCATCGTCGTGATTCCGACCATCATCAGCCGCTAACTGTCTAAATTCAAAAGCATGCCACCATTCGTCTCCTAATGAAACGTCTTCGCTGAACATTACAGCTCTAAGAACATCCAGATGCCGGAAGAATGTCAATAGAGCCGTTTCGAAGGATCCGGGAAACCCATCAGGTCCTGTGGGGCGCACTATATATATATATATAGATTTGACGCAACAAATAGCGCCATCGGATCCTGAATTTGTCGGTGATTAACTGTATTTGAGTCAGCCATGGTTCATACCTACCTGATAGGTAGTGGCTTGGTGGTTTGTGACCTCAGCAATGCTTAGTAATATTGCGGAAACGAAGACAGAGGTACTCATATAGGAATTTATCGTTAGGAGCTTTCAAGGGCTTTGGTGCAAAAACCTGTATAAATTTCATCTCTAAGGTGACGACAGTCTAGATCTTGAATAGGGCCGGCATCAACCTGCTTGTGGCTCGCGTAATCGCACCAAGAGCGAGGACTGCATTGTGGACAAGTTCGTCGTTATGGAAAAGATGACCAATAGAATCAAATGAGAGGATATCAATAAGTGGTTGAGTACGAGGGTTAACGGCGTCAAACAACAAAGTAGTGTAGAGAGAAGAGATGTCTACTAAGGGCTTTCGGACGGCCCCTAGGTGCTTTGTAGGCCTGTAGCGAAGTACTGTCATGTCACAACGTGAGCTTGAAGGGGTTTGGCAAACAATTTGCTTCTGTAGGCAGCCGGCATAAGGGCGACGGCCATCACACTAAATGGTGGATTAGAAACGGTCACCGGCTAGGCATCTAGAGCACCTTTGCATGTTATATTCGCACTCACCGCGATATGGTCCAGACGGCAACGCGCGCAACGGTGGCCAGTACGTCTTCGGTCGTACGGACCGCATGGCCGCGCTATTTTGTTGTAATTCCGATGCTGCATGGCTGTTAAGGTAGTCACTTTACAAGCCCACAGGTGCGAGTCTAGCACAGGAGAAATTGGTTGAAGCCCGGTCCCGTAAGAGTGGCTCATATCAGGAGCGTTCAGGGTGAGTCGGTAAGATTGGGAGTGTTCGCCACTATACGGAACTATCCCCCAATATGAAACATTTCGAGCCGCAATTGCTGGTCGTGGAATCCATGGTGTACCACACTTGCCTGCTAAGGTGTATCCCGGCAAGGGGTCAGAAACTAATATTAGCAATATTGATGCCTGCATCTGCCTGAATATTTGCCGGCAGAAAATATGAATACCTGAATTACCATAACAGAGCCCAGATTTCAAGTAAAGTACTTGAAATCTAACATGAGGATGGATGACGATTTGTGCGGTCGGGTTTGTACGGGCGGGGTCGATGAGGATAGATAGTGTAGTGGAATCGATGAGATTGGCGATATGGATGGTCGGGAGAATATGGTATGAGAGGCTTCAACGCCTAGAAACGGAAGATTTCAAAGGTTTGTGTAGTGGGAATAGCTTCAATGTTAATTACCCGGGACTTCATTTACAATACACTGTAAGAGCGGGGCTAAAAGGCGGTATATAATCAGGCATCGCTAGGCATCTTAAGGCAACATTATTAGTAATAATTAGTTTCCGACCCCTGGCCGGGATACTACTTGCCCCGCGACATTATTACCAAATACGTGTTAGTAGCCCTGGGTGGTAAACGTACTCCGTACGAGTACATTAGGTTGGGGATTCAGCAACCACTTAGGTACCTACTGCATATGTTTTTGTATGGTAAACCGGGTCAGCTCGGAATACCCACACTCCATACTAGCATAGCCCTAGCATAGCCCTAGCATAACCCCTGAGAGTATGAGACGCCTTCAACGGTGTTCCCTTAGTTAGTGCTTCAATCATTTCGTTCAATTGGTCCCCTCAGTCCTAGTATGTACGGAAATCCTATGGCTTAATATAAGCTTCGGGCTTTGAAATGCTCGGACGAAATGTCACGTTAAGCAATAACCGATGCCAAAAAACTATACACCTACAGTAGTTATCGTACATGAAAAAAAGGAAGAGCAAGAATTGGACCAGAACGTGCATAACTCTGCAGGTCGTGATAGACTACTCTCAATTGGACGGAACAAAGGCATCTCGCAGGAATATCCATACAGGGAATCAAGCTACTGCACATGACGGTCGGCTCTAGGCAGCTCCATAACACATTTGGGAAACCGGGTCCTACGGACATTGGCGAAAGTTCAATAAAGTTTAGATCTTCCCACTGCGTGATGGACTGTTTACGGGGTACCTATGCTCACTTGCTGTCTTCATGCATGGCCAAGTTCCGAACCGAGTGATGGGTTGGTGGTTCGGACTGCGGTCCAACCAGGATGTCAAATTCTGGACGTATATAGCTCTCCTACTGGTAAGTGATGCATTCTAATTTTCTACTTATTGCCTAACATATCCATCTTAGTTGGGTCTACAAAACATGACATCGATAATAGTATGTACGACGACCAGAAACCTGATTTATAAAAGCTAAGACGAGATTTAGTTGCAGCACAAAGTCCAGTCGCAGCCGGCTACAGATCATGGCAGGTTTGAGCCTTTATCTGGCATCATCATGATTGAAATATTCAAATTCACTCTCTCTACAATTTGTGTCATGTGGTCAGACACAGGCGTACACCCATCTCTGCGAGAGAGCCTCCGGGGCATACTACTTAGTCCTTCCAGTGACGCTACCGTATCGGCATTACTTTTCACCGCGGCTACCATTTTACAGAGTGTGGGAGCTTATTATCTTGACCTTATTCCTTACCTTGTGTTGTCCCAGCTCAAGACCATTTTAACGCCTCTCTTTGCGAGGGTGATATTACACCAGAGATATGCCCCCAAGAACTGGCTCTTCATTGCCATGATGACACTCGGCACTTTTTGACCCAGCTTGGATCCGGCTCGGACAAATTGAGTCCGAAAGAGCTGAAAACAAACACGATGGTGCAAGGAGCATTCGCAATGCTCCTCGCAGGAGTTTTCGTTGCTCTAGCTTGCTTGTGCATTGAGAGAACCATGAAGAAATCCGGTCTTCTTTTTCTCTGCAACGCTCAGCTAGCGGCCTATAGCTCCTCTTTCGCACTCGTTTACTTTTTCTGGCTTACAAAGTTCAGCTTTACGCATTTCTTCTCGGGATTCAGTCCTCTAGTTTGGATCTACATAGTGCTGCAAGTGTCAGGGGGCTTCCTGGTTGCGTGGTGTGTGCAAATGACCAGCACGGTGACCAAAAATTATGCTCAGGGTCTGGGATTTGTCTTGGCCGTCTTTGTGCCTCGACTTGTGGCTCATGAGTATATCAGTATTCAGGTGAGACTATGGAAGACCCATCCGAATTGCGAGAGCTAGTGTGCTAACTTCACCATCAGCTGCTGGCCGGAGTTGGGCTTGTCCTAGCCTCTGTGCTTGGGTCGACATCTTCCCATCAAAGAAAATCGGATATGGACGCGTTGGAAGATTGCGTGTGATTTCGACGTTTGCTCCCAGTCACTGCCCCTTCAGATAGTTTCTTTCTTCCTACACACAACTCGATATTTCCAGATCAATACTATAGGTTCGTAGTGGTAATATCTGCATCTACCCAACAGGATGAAATACTACAAAAACGAAATGACTTGAACACTTGCAAAGTGTGAAATATCATCTTTCATCCAATAAGAAGGATGGGCTACGACATCATTTCTATACATGGTCGTAAACTTTACGCCTCATTTAAATCAAACAGTCAGGACTTTCTTTGCAGACACTACCTTGAGGCTCGATTCGCACTGCGGGACAGGGACGAGTAGTAGGCGTAGAATGACTCATGAGAAATGATTTCTTACATTTCTCTTCTCCATGGCTATCTATCATATACTCATGCTTCTCATTTTGATTCCCCAAAAAGGCAAGTCTGAGCGCGGAACGGAACACGTGCGAGAATTCGTCGGCAGGTTTGTGTAAGGCAGCCAAAATTAGCCACATTTGAATTTTCACCCCTGTTAGGGTTTCTGCCTTTCGTAACGTACATAATACATTTCGTACTGTCATTTCATTAGCGTTTTTAGTGTGTATGTTATAGGATCCACTTATTACCTAGGTAGTCGTATAGATTTAATAAATTGGTGCCTGATATATATATATTATACTGTTCGACAAAGAATACTGTATTTAGTGGTAAAATGCCACCGCTCAGTTCGACAATATACACTCGATACTGGGGGAGTGACCAAGGGACGTGCCTTAGCTTAGCCAACTCATCCTCCCTTCACCTCCGGAAATATCCACAGTCATCTTCGGTCTTCGCTGTTTGTCTACAGAGGCCCCCTGTTGCCGCAAATGCTATTTTCTGAGCGTCCTGTCGTCACATAGCTAGCTTTATTTGGCCGTGAATGCGAAGCTACTGGTCTCATTTCAGAAGACATGCCTTTATCCTTCCGTGTGTTTTACAGGCCCAAATCGCACTTGCAGTTTCGGCGACGGGCGGTATTCGTATTGGCATTGGTTGCTCTCATCACTTGGCATCTACACTGGCAGAGGCACGACTCATCAATTGAAGTGACTCAATACCCGCTGCTTTCAAGATACGTCGCTGGCCAGATTGGAGATGGCGGAGGTACGAATTAGCATTTCACATTTGACGACACAGGCCGTGTTCTTGCTAACCGCAGCAGCTTGGTACATCCCACCAGGTTGGCTAGAGGGATCTGACGCTACTGTTGAGAACATCATTGATGCGGCCACTTTGGCTCTCAACGCATCCAGATCCCTTCCAGAGAGGCAAATTCCGCACTCTGTTATACCTCTCATAATCCATCAAACATGGAAGGATACAAATTACGATCAATGGCCGGAGACATTCCGCCGGAGCGCGGAAACATGGTTGTCAGGCGTTGACAATGGCAACATGGCCTACTTTCTGTGGGATGATAATGGCATGGCTCTGTTCATGAGACATTTCGCGCCTGAGATAGAGAGCCTGTTCTATGCACTGCCGAGCAATGTGGAGCGATCAGACGTGTTTCGTGTCCTGGTTTCTAAATGGATTGGAGGCATCGTGAGTAGCCCTTCCCTTCCCTTACCCAGGACTGGACTTGTCCAGTTGCTTCAGGTGATTGACTGAAGACAGTATGGTGATATGGACACCGAGCCCACTCGACCTCCGTCAAAATGGGTTGCTCCTGCGGATCTACAGCCCTGGCAAGATCCGGAGACTGGCAAGGCGTACAATTCAACTGAGCCCGTCAAAGCTATCGTTGGACTCGAGGCGGATTGCCTACCTGAAAGTGACCTCTACTGGGCTATGGGATACTTCTACCCTATTCAACTAACGCAATGGTCATTTGCCTGGGCGCCCGGGCACCCTATTCTGCAATTGTTTATTACCCGTCTGTTCGCAATCGTTCAGGCGGTTTCCGAGAAAAATGGAGGGCAGCTCCAATCATACTCATCTCAAAGGGCTCTCTATGATATTGACCCATTAAACCTCACCGGCCCAGTCGCATTCACGGACGCCGCTCGAGAGTGGTTGGAAACCGACCAGGATCTACGATGGAATGCTCTATCCGGTTTAACCGATGGAGGGCTTAGCAAATTAGTGGGCGATGTTCTCGTCCTGCCTATTACCGGATTCAGGTATGTTCAGTGCCGCCAGACTTTCTCGGGTACCCTGGCATGTCCATGTACTAATTAATTGAAGCCCAGGAAGAGGTCAATATGGAAACATGGGCTCGAAACCTGTTACAGATCCTTCCGCTCGCTTAATTCACCATGCCCAGGGGTCCTGGAGAAAGACTAGCGTTCTAGTTGAGTATGGCAAATTTTGTCGCACCTTTTTCGGGCGCTGCAGGGATTGGTCAAAAGTGCCTCATAACTGGATTTTTTGAGATTAGCGCTAGTATCCAAGCTGCATACGATGTCTGCATAGATTGTTGAAATAGTTAGCGGGTTTTGATATTTTAATTAGAGTTGTCAATGTTTGTAATTTATACTGTACCATACATTGCAATACAAACAGATTTCTGTCAGTAAATTAGGCTGCTGCGCCGCTTTAACCACTTGGCCAAAACACCATAGGGACAATCGGACTCTGCTCAAGACCACGACCCAGATTCAGGCAGCGCTGGGACATACTGTTGTGGCAGGTGTCACCTGACCCTATGTGACAGGACTGTAGTCTCCTCTCCCTCTTCTTCTTTTTCCCTTCTCCCTTAGCAGTTAGCAGTTAGCAGTTAGCAGTTACCAATACAATTGCTCTCTCTCTCCTCTCCTGACTTCCCATCACACACCCAAACATGCCCGCCAACGTCGAGTCTGATGAGTGCGAGCTTGACTCCGAGTCATTACTTGGCCGAAGAAAACGCGATCGACATGGTTCTGAATGGCGACATCACACCTTCACTCTACGTTCGACAAGAAAAAAGCTGACCGGGCTGTTAATCCGCATTTTTCTCATCTTAGCCCAGGCATTGGGTGTGCTCTTTGGATTGAGAATCAGGCGCCGAGCCCGTTTCTTCATTCATGTCACAGTCAGCGGACTTCTATTGCTGATCTGCCTGACTGCACTGTTTTGGCCATCATATACACACTTACCGCCACATTACCAGACGCTCAGAAACCGAGTGCAGAAAAGCGGATTTCAAGGACGCGGTAACATCGAGAACCAGAAGGTCTTTATTGCTGCTGTTCTTTATGACCCCCAGGGGAAAATTGCAAAAGGTCAATGGGGACAGGCCCTTCTCAAGCTCATTGAAATTCTCGGGGAGCAAAATGTTTTCCTCAGCATATACGAAAACAACAGTGGACAAGAAGGCGAAAATGCCCTTCACGCTCTAGCAAACCAAGTGACGTGCGACAAGTCCATTGTGTCAGAGCTAGGCCTTGGTTTAGGAGAACTACCGAGAGTGAGCATCCCAGGAGAAACGCGCATCAGGCGTATTGATTACCTGGCTGAAGTCCGAAACCGTGCTTTGCAACCGTTACAAAATGGCAATACGACATACGACAAACTTTTATATCTGAATGATGTTATTTTCGACCCCGTCGAAACCTTACAGCTTCTGTTCTGCACCAACGCCGACGCCAATGGTGTAGCCCAATACCGAGCTACGTGTGCAGTGGACTTCAGTAACGCCTTCAAGTTTTACGACACATACGCAACTCGCGACCTACAAGGCTATGGAATTGGCCTTCCTTTCTATCCTTGGTTTACTACCACGGGGAGGGCGCAGAGTAGACAAGACGTACTAGACGGTGTAGATGCCGTCCGTGTCCGCAGCTGTTGGGGTGGTATGGTTGCATTTGATGCCCGGTTTTTCCAGGGTCTGAATCCAGTTCGATTTCGCGCAGACTCTGAGCTATTTTGGGATGCTTCCGAGTGCTGTATTATTCATGCGGATATACAGAGTGCAGCACTGATCTCGGACGAATCCAAAGACTCGGGATCATACATTAATCCCTTCGTCCGGGTCGCTTATGACGAGAAAAGCTATTCGTGGCTTTGGACCACTCGACGTTTCGAGAAACTGTATCCATTCATCCACAACACACTGAACCATCTGCTCGGATTTCCTCGATACAACCCTCGCCGCACCGAGGTACTTGGCCAAAAGGTCATTGATACTGTTTGGGTACCGGGCGATGGTGAAGGACAGCAGGGTGAGGTTCGGACGACGAAACGCGAAGCTGGAAATGACGGCTTTTGCGGACGTCGTGGACTCGAAGTCCTGGTTGAAGAGAGAATACCTGGTCAAGATGGGTTTGAGCGTATCAGGGTTCCAGTTGGCTTGGTTTAGCTCATATCTGACACTATCCGGGTTAATATGTATATTATAAAAGGATACAGCGACGGAGTGACTAGGCCCATCGGTCCCATTGTAGCAAATATTCTGTGCCAACCTTAACCTTGGCCTGCCCATTTCAGGCCTATTCAACGACCGCCAAGCGTGAACTCAAAATACACCATACCCCTCTATAAAGAAGGCTACACATTGGGTAAACAAATTGTATAAAATATTTGGAGGTTTTGGACCAGCAGTATATTTTATACAAAATGGATAGTATGGATGCGTGGCTCCGGCTCGTGTATTACCCTATTCTGTTGAGGCAGAAGCTTAATAATGAGAATGTATATATCGGATGCGAACGAGCAGGGGCCTTGAAATCTACTATGGATCATTGGAGGGGGTCAGAATTTCTGATAGAATAAAAAAGGTCAAGCTAGCCGGCCAGGTGCTCGTGTTTTCTCAGGGGCTTTTGAATTTTTGAAACCTGAAGAAAGACCGATTCCTCGCAACTATTCCTCCAAAAAGAAATATCTATACCGCCTCAGCCTTGCGAGCCTTCCTCGCAAGGCTCGCAAGCCATGCTCACTGTGGTTAAGTCGTCTTTAAAGACGGTTGAAAGAGCTTAGCTATATAGGCAATGACATTCCTCGGTCATTGATTGGTCGGGGAGGGATATAAGATTTAGAGGCGAAGATCAAGTGGGTCAGGGCTCCAGGCACCCATTTTGTGATTTGCTGTCAGCCATACCTGTATGGAACAGGGACCCACTGAATGTCTGGGTACCGGGCTGTAATACTGTATTAATCCGTTATAGTAACGTTCCATAAACTATCGAAGGCAAGAAGTCGATGGGCATGGTGGTCGTGGCGGACTATTGGTGCTCGTGCTGCGGTTCAACCTGAGACATATTGAATCCTGTAGGCAACTTCGAAAAACCATCGCAGTAACACACCGAGACCGACTGCTGAAATTTAAAATAATTAAACGAAGGGAAATTGGAGGGGATTGAATGGTAAAATACCACATCTCACCATAACAGGGTTGGGGCTGTCAAAACAATCTCTCTTGATCCTACTGAACGTACTCCTGACGCCTAGTCCTTTCCCCTTAACAGCTATTTCCCTAATGAGATGATTTCACTTCGTTTCTTTAAGCGAATAGTGCGCCGACTTCTCACACAACGCTGGCCCGCTATCGTAGCCACCTTAGCCAGCGCGGCCGTAATATGGTCGCTTCTTCTGTATTTCACTCTTGCTTACTATCTGGCCGATGATCCACGCCTTGTTCCTGACACATTTCGACATGCACGCCGGCCGATACTCATTATTGCGCATCCAGATGATGAAACTCTGTTCTTTAGCCCCAGCATTCTCTATCATCGACACGATCCACATGTTACACGCTCACTGTTGGTGATCTCCTCTGGTAAGTGGACTAGGGTAACTGGCGCCTCTTTATTAGGTAATGCAACATGATCTAATGTTTGAATAACCAGGAAACTACAATGGCATTGGTGAACAACGCCAAACAGAAATTCATAAGAGCTGTGCTGCATTGGGAATATCCCAGGATCACTGCGTGGTTTTAAACCATCCTGACCTTCAGGATAATCCGGAGAAATGGTGGGATGAGAACTTGGTTCAAGATATCATTGCACCATACATAAAGAAATGGAAGGCGGACTTGGTCAGTATCTCTTGAACAATGAGCCAACAGAAAACAATGTCCTAATATCGATGAATAGATCATGTCATTCGATCAAGGTGGAATCTCAGGTCATATCAACCATAGAGCTGTCAGTGCCGGCATAAGGTACGTTTGTAACTTGGCCTGCCTTGCTCCCTGTCCCGACATCATTACCGTATAATTTTGAATCTGATGGACGTCGGTTGACATCTAACAATCCAGGAGCTATGTTGCAACCAACGAGTATGTACCCCCCCGCGTATACGCTACAAAGTATTTCGCTCCTACGAAAGTACTCATCTTTGATCGACCTGATACCCTCCACCGTCCCGTTCTCATGGAAGATCATCGAAGCCCTCCTTATACCTGCGACGAACCCTGATAGCGTGGGTCGATCACTCGTGCGGAAGACGGGGAAGGAGAGGGTTCTTTTGGTGAGCTCGTGGCAGACATATCTTGAATCACGAGCTGCCTTTGGTCAACATGAGAGCCAGTATTCTTGGGACAGAGTACTGTACTTAGTGGTGAGCCGTTACATGTGGTTCAACACACTGGAAAGGATTGGATAGCATTAGATATAATCCAGAGCACGCAATTAATGAAATAAATGGTGTGTAACTCTTCTATGGAAGGTTTCTATGTCATGATTTACATGTACTTGAAAAGAAATGTATAAATTGATTTTGGAATAGAAAGTCAAAAATATCACACGTATGTAACAAATAAGTATAATACATAGAAAAATGTCTGCCTACATATACTTGAGGGAAGGAATTCGTAAGTTGGATTCGACGTCTTGTCGTGACGACAAACGATGTCGCGCCCAACGGCAGCACAAGAACAGTGAGGCCAAGACTCCAATGACAATTACAGAGGCAAGGAATGTCATTTTCAGCTCGATATCCTTCAGCAGAAGGATCAGACGGGCGTCTTTGTTGTGCCACGAGGAGGAGCCAAGATGGCGGAAGAGGGGAGTATCGACAAATCCGTTCAACATATGCATATTTGGGTTGTCAGGAGTCCCAGAGAGAATGCGAAGATCCGATCGGTCTTTTTGTAGGGTATAAACGGTCCTGCACAGAGAATAATTGGTCAGTAGCAATACAGATGATTCGTAGATCATTGGAGACACCCACGAAGCATAGTGGCAGCCAGTGCTGAACATGATTGTCACATATGACAGAAACGGCCACGCATGATTGAAATTAGGTAAACTGTTGACCAGGGATTTGACAAAAGGGTGATTGGGTGAGGCAAGCATCATGCCAATCGAAAAGCCCGCAGGATGGGCAGCCGGTGCGACGAAGTTGAACTGACGAAGAGGCTCAAGTGAGCGTTTGCAGGCCAGGTCGAAGTCAAGAACAGCACCTAATACCGGTTAATCGTCAATTCACTAGTCTGGGTGGAAATATCCAAACCTCACGGGTAACATACCTCCATACTTCTGCAACACCATGTAACGTAGAGCGTCAACACGTTGGACAATGAACGGATAGCTTTTCCACATATCATAGAGGTGAGGATAATTCTCCTCCACGAATTGCGGCGCATTGCTGTCATTCCAGAGAAAAGCTTCCCACGAATCATGCTGCTTGAGACAATCGGCCCTGGCTGCAAGCCATTCTGCATGCGGAGTATTTGGGCCGAGATATATATGATGCAGTCTCGCTGGAACCAACAGACTGAAGCCCGCATCCTCCGTAGAGTAATTGGCCGGGAATGAGGAAAAGGTCACATCAAAATGGTCGCGTTGCTGAGAAATAATCGCTCTAGCCGAAGAGTTAGGCCATATGAGCGGTAGTCGGAAAAGGTGGTATAATCTCTGAACTGAAGGAGCTGATAGACGGGCAAAAACGAGTACCAATACAAGCACCACAAACACTCGAAGTCGACCTGGCGCCATAACTCTTGGCCAAGTCAGGAAAAGATCATGACTGGCGTAAAAAGGCGTATTGTGCTTGGAATGATGACTTTAAATGTATACAGACATTGCTGCCTAAAGAGATGCCAGGTCCGAAATATCCGTATTGACTAGTAATGGGTGAGCGGCTGAGAAGACGGATTCAATTGAGTACAACTTGTGGCTTCTTCGGTGACCGTATTGGCATGCTACGAGGGGGCGTTCCAATCAACCAGATAGACTACACGAATCGTGAACGAGCTTAAGGTAGCCATTTATCACCTAGGCATTGATGGTATCATAACACGTGTGCTAGAATACCTGTTGGAATAAAATCTATGAACCAAAAGCATCACATTCAAGAAAACAGGCAAAGTTTTTCACACTAGAGCACCTTCGCTGTAAATACCGCCGGCCGGTAATTTCACAATACGTACTTCTAGAAGAGGGGCACAGGAGCCTTAGGGCTATGTTTCATCTTGACTTCCTAGGCCCCACCGGCGTTCTCAAGATGGGTTCCGAATATCGAGCAAAAGGGTGACAATTACGACATTTTCTCCATATACCTTGCCATTGATTAAGCTGCCCTAAGGGGAAGGACTATGGCGACGCACTTCTTAGATAAGCATATGAATCCACAGCCTACTAACTACCTAGGTAACTAGTTAGTTAACTGATCTGGAGGTACGAACGGCCACTGTTGGTATTAAAGTTCATTTATATGCAGCATCCAAGTGGCTCCAGCCAGATATACATGGTGTACTGCCATCAGATACATTAGCTAAGCGGAAGGTTAACTCGTCTGTGAGCGGCCCAGTGTAGTGCCTACAATTTCATCACTGAAAATCATGGACTTGTATATCTATCGTTCCAGCCCATCCTAATTGAGTAGCAGCCTACTTGAATTGGGTCCTTGCCAAATCCTGTAGTACTAGTAAGCCGAACTAAATACTGCTTTCCCCAAATGTGACTAAAGCACACGTAGAGTGTATCCTTGCGAAAGGGGCAAATCAAAATCATCCATGGCACGGCTTGGCATTTTGTTGGCTGAATATCTCCAATCATGACTACTACATTCCTCATAGAAATCTGGGGCTGGTACACCTTCTTGACAGTTTGGTTCCGCAGGTTCAGGACTGCGAAATGGCTCAGGCCAAAAGAAATCCTCCATTTGTTGCGATGGTAGACCCCGTGATGAAGTGGTCTTTCATCACATAAATGTATGCTTCAGCGACGTCCTCGGGTCTGCCAAGCTTCCCAACGGTTGTTTGACATTCGAAGGCTTCAAGTAGCCCGCTCTGCGAGCGTACAGCTTTGTCCAACATCTCTGTATGCACAGCGCCGACTGCAACCACGTTCACTCTCAGGGGCTTTAGATCCACCGCAAGGCCCCTGGCCAATCCCTCTAATCCTGCAGTGTATGCTCCTGCGATGGCGAAATTGGGAGGCGGACGCTGCGACCCCGCTCCTCCGGTGAACGTAATGGAGCTTTCTGGCCCGGGTCGAAGAAATTTGACAGAAAGTTTGGCGAGGATAATCGGGGCAAAGAATCTCACGGCGCCGGCAGCATAAACTTGGTCAATCGTGATGCTGGAGACGTGACCGATGTGGAGGTCATTTCCAGAGGTGAAGACAATGTGGTCGATCTTGGAGGTCTCCGTGGCTGCGGCCAGAAATGAAGTGAGGTTTTCCTCGAGCTTCTCCGCCACGGATAGGTCAGATGTCTTTCCGTTCAGTCGATTAGCTGCTGTTGGATATGCCTCAAGGAGGTTTGATACAGCAGACCGGAGTTTATTTGGATTGTAACCGGAGATAAACACACTCGCTCCCTGCTCAAGAGCCGCTTCTGCGACACAGTAACCAATGCCTGAAGTACCACCAAACACCAAAATGTTCTTCCCCACCAATTTCGAACCGTACTTTCTTGTATCCATTCTTGCAACCGGATGGAGAGAGTGAGATGTGAAATACTGTAACCTGAGGTTTGTTATGGAATATTTATACCTGTAACACAACTCGCTTATAAATTGGAGATCAAGCGACTATGGTGTGATATATGGATCGGATGCGGCAGCTTCACCATCCGGACAAGTAACGGTCGGAAACAAGACAAAATTAGAACCCGAACCATCCATTACTACGTTCCTGCCAGCCAGCTTTCATCACCGGTATCAACTAAACGAGGTTTACCTTCAATACGGGGCGCTGAGCAACAATTGTTGGTACCCGGGGAGTCCATAGATTGGTATGCAGTCCCAACTGCCCCACATCTCGCAACATTATTACCGAATACGTGTTAGTGGTATGCTTGATGAGAACCTTAAATTCCACCCATCCATGGATGGATATTCAAGTATCTGACAAATCATCTGACAAATCATCTGGCAAATCATTCTGCCACTGATACGGAAAGTTCAATCTGCCTTCATCTTGCAAAAAGCCTGTATTATTACCTTTAATTATAGCATATGTTGTTTTGATACCTTGTGTTGTATTTGGTTTAGATGCTTGACCTACAAGTTTAATACTTTAATTCAATCAATATTCATTATTAACTTAGCTTACTTTTAGATGTAGACTAGTTCTCTCCCTTCCCTCCATCTTCTCTAAGCATACGTCCATGCACAATAATGCATACATTGCGGCTTCATCTACCTACCTGTAGATTTCAACAACTAGTAATTTATATTTAATTATATAATCACTGGACTAGAGTGACGTTCTGACAGTGCAGGCATGTCTTTCGGCTTTAAGGGACCAGATGAGTCGGTTTGTCAACCTCAACATCAAACTCGAATGTTGAGAACTCCTCAGCCTCAGTAAAACTAGAGCGTGAGATGATGAATAGCCTTGGAACTCTTTGTCCTATCACGATTTTGCTGAATCTTAGCTTCTCCGCCAGCCTCGTCGCCAACAGCTGAGTACCTCCGTTAATTCGGCTATCATGAGCAGCTTCTTTGGTACCAATAAGACGATTGATGGTTCCGATGTTGGTTTGGTTACCTGCAGCGGCGATGTACGATAGCATGTACAGAAGGGATGGCTCTTCGGTCTCGGTGGAAAGGATAGATCGAATCCGATAATAAAAAGACCCCTAGGCTATGGAGGTACGGAGTTGATCGGGACCAACTATATCAATAAGCTCACTAATATATATTTGTGGCTCGCACTTGAGCTAGAGCAAGTTATTGGTGATATTGTAATGGTTTTTACCTGCATTTCTACACTCATAATTTGTCGATAAGTTAGCATAAAGTAGTTTAATGTGGAAGGAAAATAACAAGGTCATCCCCGAGTGTGAGAGCAGAGGTCTGGGCTTACAAGGCATGAAATGGAGGCCTAACTATCGAAGTACGGAGAAAAGACTAATTGGGCAAATTACCCGGGTATTAGCTTTGACTAGGTGGAACTGGTATCGATGTTATTGGTTGGAGTAGCTTCCCCTCGCCCCCATTTTTGGGGTAGTTCGACAGATCAACCTATAGAATATTTCTCTTGGTCATTAGTACGATCCTCTAGGGCTGAGACGAGACCCCCTTCTCTAGGAGCTCCTAATGTTCATTGTTTTAGGAATACCGTAAGAATCCTAATTTTGCCATCTTGAATCAAAATTTGAGCCCGTTCTCATCCTTTCACTCTCCAAGAACATCTCCGCACCCACTGTTCTCAACATCACAATCAAAATGACATTCCTCAAACCTCTTCTCCTAGCGACAATGCTATCCATCGCCTCGAACGCTGCAAAAACCGAGTGCCCGCTAGGCTGGCTCCCAAACACATTCCACGGGACCAAATGCTGCGCTGGCGGCATGGTTATCGACGAACAAGGCGCCTACTGCTGCGTTAACGACATGAGATATTACAAGGAATTGCTCACCAACACAGCATTGAGATATGCTACCCCCACGACGACCGAAGAGACCAACTGGTCCACGGTGGATGAATCTTGCTTCGCGGAGGTCCGCTTCACAGCCTCCGACTACTCGGCACAGGTTTCGTCAGCGTCGAGCAAGGCTGAGGCTACTCCCACAAATGATTCAACGAGCAAGGTCACCACCACCGGTAGTACGACTTCTGGAGCTACCTCTGGTATCGCCTCGCAGACCTCCACTTCGAGTCCGACTCCAACTTGGAACGCGGCTATGCCGCTTGCCACGGTTGATGTGCTTGGTGGCGCAGCATTTGCTGCTGCTTTTTTCATGTTGTGACTTGAAGCAATCTTCTTTTCATCTTGGCCCCTATTTTTCCTCCGGAGGATGCCGGAGACTTGGCATATAGGAATGACCTTCCATAGCTAAATATCCTCTTTGGAAATGAATTTAGTGACTGGTGGACATCGAATTTCGCTGAATTATTAAAGCCATATAATTCATAGTCAGCCCAACCTTTGGTGAATTATCAGAGATTCAAAAAAAATCAAAAGCAGAGAGTGCGCAACGTTACATTGTGCCCTGTAGCGACCAAGACATCAACGGGTTGGCAGGGGTCGACCGAGACCACTGAAAGCTAACCGCAAGATCCTAAACTAAGAACTAATACTGAACTAGCAGTTTGGCTGGCCCCGTGATTATTAGCGTCGTATTGGGGTGGGGGGATTTGTACCTTGCCCTGGGAGGTCCACAAGACGGCAGATACCTACAATTTATATATCAACCCCATATAAAATTGGGTCACTTTTGTCACATTGGACGACTTCGTATATACATGTAGATAAGATCAAACAAATTGATACTCTAATTCTGGTTTACATACATTAACCTGCCCTCTTGCTACCCCTTTTTCATCACGTTCTTCGTCAATTCTGATGGGGACGGGGACGGGGACGTGGAACTGGTAGTGGTGGAACTGGCAGCAGTGATCGAGGGCGTGGTCGAAAACATGGTCGAGGACATGGACGGGGACAAAAGCGCGCACGGGGAGGTGCATAAGAAGTGGGATGTTCAATATATAGAGTATCAAGGCGGTAAATAGGCAGAAATGTACGATTTTTTGCGATCAAAATGCAGTGTTTTTTACTACGTAAACCAGAATTCCTAATAGACCGGCAGAAAGCATGGCAGAATCCAGTGTCGCACCCAATCGGGAAGACGGTGACTGAATTTTCAGGCAGGGGCGTCAATATAGACGGAGTGGGCTGTAGTCCTTCTCTTTTTTTCTCTCTCTTCCCTTTTCCACCAGTCCTGCCAGATACTCAACACAGTCTTCTTCTTACTTTGTTCTCAGACAACTCCGTCGCCCCACATCTAGGCCCCACTTAAGCGGCAACGATCCGAATCACGTGCCCGAAGATCATTGAACCCCACACGCTTTCATTTAGTTCGCTTGTCTTTCACATCACCTAAAAGCCACGAATCAATTGCTTCCTGTCATATTGCGCAAAAATGCTTCGACATCCACGCGAATCTGAGCCTGATACGATAGCCTCCGAACTAGGCAACCTCCTTTCACCGCTAGTTATCTTTCCATGGGGACCGCTCGCAATGCGCTACTTAGGTGTTCCTATTGTCATAGGTGTAAGTTGGGTTATCACTTATTCATCACGTTTTATTTTCTGCTAGCTAACTAAGCCGTATAGAATGCTATGATCGCCGTCCGTGATGAGGACTATCAGCTGGCATGTCAGAAGCTGAAGGACTCGGGATTCTACGAAGTAACCCCTGACCGCTCGATTCCGCCCGAGATACTAGCAACGCTCCCAGATCCAGAGCAGGCAATTGAAGAGGTTGAGAGAGAGTACCGACGTCTAGACAACTCAACTATCTCGTTCCAATATCCAATCAATCACTACCTAGCTGGGGATATACAGTTGACGGTGGCGCCAAACTCCTTCGCAAATATTCCGATACCGGATATGATAAGTGACGTGACGCAAAGCACATTATCTACTAATGGCTACAACATCAACGGCAATATTTGTCAACCACTTGAAGAGCCGTTAGTGGAAAGTTTTGTGAGAAGTATTATTGACGATGAGAATGATGATAATGCTGAGTTCTCGGGGTGGGGAGACAGATTGAGCACATGGGTCGCTATGATGTGCGGATATCTTGAGGTTAATAATGATATCCTAGACAAATGCTCGGATGAGAGAGCAGTGAAATGGTTCAGTGTGACCTACGGCCGGATACACGAGGAAAAGTTCGGCCCGTTGGATAGACGTATCTCAAAGCGATTGGGTTCTGGGAGAGAAATGCCGGTGGATATGAGGGGCAACCCGTTGCCGAAGTAAAGTCCATAGGAGCCCAGGGTAGGATTTTATGTACAATACACCGAATAAGCTTATATGCGAAGGGGCATAACGGCCAGTGTCCCAGTGGACTTTTTGGCCTAGTTGATGTCTGAATTATGCCTGATTATACACCGCTTTTTTGACGGCTCTATACAATGTATTGTAAATGAAGCTATCATCATCATCTCCCCGAAGCTACTGCGGCCTATTTGGCCAACTGGCGTAATCAAATACCTCAACCTCCACTAGCTGTATGGCGCCATCAGGCAAACGAAGTCTGTATGCGGGAATGACGTGGCCGAACTGGCTGACCGGGCTAAAGTCAGATGGAAAAGAGTTTAGTAAGCTCTGCGTGAGTAGATCTGCGGTGATAGATCGCTGATCAACGTGAATTACTAGATCAACCTCCTCTGTACGTCGGCTGTTATCGGGTGCCGTAAGGCATACAGCCGCGCCTCCCATGAAAGCATAGTCAACTTGCAATGAATCTAGGCATTGCGCAACAGTGGCAACGGCAAGTTCCAACTGCGTTGACAGCAGGACAGGCATGTTGAGAACTTCCTGTGATATCTGCTTGGCTTTGGAGAGGTAGGGTGAGGAGAATGCGGTTTCTTACTTAATGTACCTCTGATAAGATCGTGGTGTCAGTTGGGAGACAAGACAAATGACGACGTGACTGCGGATCGGGCGCAGGGACAGCCAAAGAGAAAGACAAGCATGAGGTGAACTGATCTTCTAACTGAGAGAGGGAGAGAGAGGTGAAGGATAATCAATTAATACTCGTGAGGTAGTGTCATATCCATATTAGGCAGGAAGGCTGCCTTAGAGCCTCACTGCCCGCGACATCATTACTGGGCAGCAAAAGTTGATTAGTTAATATGTACTACGCATGTTTTGTCGGTTGAAGTGGTATTGTAAAATAACCGGTCCAATCAATACAATGGGTTCAACTCTATATTTCTGCATCGGCTCTCCCAGAAATTTATACCTAGGGAGCCTTGATTACAAATAATAAATTACAAAACATGTAGAATTAATACACTGGTATGCTGGTCTTGAGGCTCTGACATGTTTAATATCCCTGAGGTATCATAATACACCAGCCAATGATGTTTCATTTTAAGTGCCTATTTTGTGGTCGCCCAAATGCCTAGTATGTACGGGCGACTAGATATGCTATCGACACATAACTCTCTTATTGGTTTATATTGCCAGCAGTAATTTAGATGAACCTGAACCTGAACTAAACCTGAATTGAATCTAAATTGGATCTAAAGTGAATCAAAATCGAACCTGAAGTATACCTGAATTCAATCTGAAGAAAAGTTGGTAGATCTCTTGGCCGCTGGTTTTGAATCTTTAGTTAACTAGTTAAAGGATAGACTGTTGTATACCAATTGAAATTAGCGTAACTATATGTTTCAAAAAGGCGGTGATAATGTGCCGGTGGCATAGTCGCCCGTAAGTATGCAAGATAATGATGATGTATCCTCGACTATCCTCAGGAGGCCCTCAATTAATGCACGTGCAACATATATCTACGCGGAGTCAACACGTAGACATCTCAGACCGGCCACTTCTCAATAGATCAATTTCCTATTTTCAAACGTACCTCTGTCCCTGCTGTAGTCACTTAATATGGATGTAACTTCCTAGAGTCCCAATGTCGGTCGCCTTTCACCGAGGCTGGGATAGGGGTGTATAGGATGAACATCATATACAATGTAAGGAACCCATTTCTCCGATGGCCCAGAAACCATTCGTTGCCTTGGAGTCTAATCCCCTCTCTGATTAGAGGCCGTACAAACTTAGTGGAGCCATCATTACCGCGTGCTCTATTCCAAAATGAAGTCACATATATATTCCTTTCACCTCGGTCACTGTTATATTTAGTGTAGATTGATTACTTACCTTGGAGGCATAAGTACTTTTAGGTCCCATCCTATTTGATCATTCATTCTTGTGGTCTTATTAACTACATAACTAGGGAGTTTGACTTCCCACTAGGTATAGACATGTCACTACACTGCAACACTCCAGATCACTTCAAAAATTAGTTAAATATGCACCTCCGAGTGGTTTACACGCCACGAAAGCTGTCTTTTATTACTGGAACCCAAACTCTATCACATTCCCAGAGGGTACGTGTAATTTCAACACTGGGGGACAAAAATGATGAATAGAGCTAAGACTCCTCGAAGAAGGATCACTGAAGGTTTCCTTGGCATCTCAAGGAACTAGACCACGACACAACTTTAACCGGCATTTTGGAGATATGTGGATTAATATAATTGCCTAGCGTACCGCGGCATCAAATTTAAGATGGATAACGAGAGGGATGATGGGAGGCGAGACTGCACTAGACCTGAAGTAGCAGGAGACATAATATGCAAATATTGTGCTTCAGAATTGTCGAACCCCGTCTTTTTAGAGATTTGGCTCTAGGCTTGCGAGGGGTATTTCACTAACGATGCACATGTTTCATATCCATCATATTATTCGCGCTCTACGGGGTATCTATATCGGATCATGTTATTCTGTTTCAACTCCTATTGGTTGCAACAAGCAGCTTCTATTGAAAGTATCACTAGTTAACACATTGCTTCTTCCATCAATAGTAAACTCTAGCATCGCCGGCTCGAAACGCACGTCTGTGCATGGACCGGGACCCATACCCCACGTTCCGGACCAATTCCCAGATTTCATCTATACTGATCAACATGCTGACCTAGCTATAGCGTTATGACGTTACATCGGCATCGTGTTATTACTCCTCGAACATGCTGTTGTGAGAATTGCTAAATTGCTACGAAGTATAATAATCCACATACAATTTCACAAGCCATTAGAATCTAGCATGGATATTCAACGTATCTCTTGCTTCATCTAGCCTAGTCCGCATGGGGTGGGGAAAAGGAACCGACCAGACCCCTGAGCCACCTTGCCATGTATGGAAGTGTGTGCATAGGTACAGGCAAAGCGCCCCATATCTTCATTCCATGCGGTGTGGACCTCGACCAAGCGGAGCTCGGTGTGTCCCGTATGGAGGAAGGTCTTCTTCGGATGGGATGCGAACCAGGATTCATGCGACTATAGCTTGTCCCGAGAAACCGCTAGTTAGTTCTCGTGCATGGCGGCTAGTCCATAATATGACCTGTCACACTACGACAAATGGATGAGGGAGTTTTCCATGTACATACTCAAAACAGTTTAACGTCATATCGAAACAAAGAAAATGTCTTGGCTGATAAGAGTGGTTCGGGAGACGGAGACTATCCGTGTTTCCGTGTTGTCCATGCTAGATTGAAGTGGATATATAAACCGTGTCAATCGTGGAGTGATATAGTTATATTATTCAAACCTGGAAGCTGAAAATGGCTGTATGCGATTATACAATTTCACAGCACCATAGGGTGATCGCTCCTACTGGTGGGATTCATCTTCCAATCAATGTAACGGGCAATATACCCAACTACAAACGCCTTAACGAGGTGCCTATTATCAAGTCATGTGAAATCGCCCTGGGAATACGCGATGTCTGCCTTCAGGTTAGGCAAACACTATCACATTCATGAACCGAAGACTAAATAAGTTGAATGTAGCTCAGGATCCCCCATTACGAGATTATCCCTCTCGATCCAGCTCCCCCATCGGCTGTCATCTATTCCCACGCCAACTTCAAGGCTTCCATCCAACCGGAAAAAGCCAGTGATACCAAAGACTTCTATGAAAGATGCTTTGCCGAAGCTGCGGCGATCAACCTGTTTTTCCCCGATGTACGATCGGAAAGCATCCGTATACGTATGACCGCGTGGCTGGCTGCGAATTGTGCGGCGGATGACATACTTGAGTCTATGCCACCAGCTGCCGCCACGTTTTATTTGAAAGAGGCAATCTTGAATCTTCAAGGAAAGAAATCAAACGGTATGTAAATCAGGATCAGGTACTAAAGTCCTTCCCAGGCTGATTATATCAATAGTCTCTCCAACAAACAAAGTGGCGTCAATCCTTTGCTTCTTTCAAGAATATTGTATTCAGCAACTTGACCTATGTGAAAGCACTGCCCGTGAACTCAGCGATGATATATGCGATATGTGTTATGGCTTGATTGACGAGCTCCTATTTCGGCAAGGTATATTGCCCAACAACCTGGAAACCTATCTACAGTTCCGCGGCAGGACGATGGGGATTCACCCATTTTTCACTCTGATCCGAACACTACACGAACCAGTCGAAGAAGAATATCTTATTGGCCTCCGAAATCTGCAGAAGGGGGTTAGTTCAATTCTAGGGCTGCAGAACGACCTCGTTGGCCTAGAGAAAGATCGTCGAAATGGCGAGACCATGAATGCAGTCTTAGTATCCTTAAAGGAACAAGCGGGGATGCATTTCGATGACATGGATATGATATTGCCAAGGACGATTCAAGATGTGTGCGATATCCACAATCTTTGTGTGTCAGCTGCAGTGGAGATGTACGAAGGACTCCAGGTCTCACTAAACGGGAATACCCACGACCCAATTCTTGAGACAGAAATTTTGGCATTTGCAGATACCCATCTGAAATGGTGCGCGTCATCTAAGCGATACCAGGCAAAGGTAGAATAGGAAATCAATTAGTCGAGGGAGTTTAATTGGGCTTAATATAAGATTGAGTTGGCTCCATTTTGTCTATCGCCCTGCAGGCCCCACGATGTGATAGGCAGGAGTTCATGCAGTATGTACATGTAGTGTAATACTAGGCCGAGTCAGATCTCGGAGTCAGGGGTTAAAAGTGGCGGTGAGGGATTTGGTGGTGAATTCGTGATTGAACAGGGGCCCGTTGCGCGTATGTTTGTGACGGGAATTAGGTGTTTGTTGTCGCTGTCGCTGACTATGTTGCCGCTTGTATTGCAGATGATCATTTGAACTGATAGGCCACCAAGACCCACTATTGCATGTTGGATTCGAGAGAGTGGATATTGACGCATTCCTCAACGCTACTGCATATGCAGGATGCATAATGAGGATTGGTAATGCGGTCTACAATGCATGCACAACTATGCTCAGGGCTGTCGGAAAGGAAAATCTCACCATTAAAAATCACATGAGCACACGTGTATGGTTGTAGGAACATCTAGGTTTTCACAATCTAAGTGGCGTGAAACATGTGGGCCAGGCCACGCGGAACGGCTCGTCAAAAGGAGATTAAGGGCTCTCGTTATTTATCAATAGAGACAATCGCGATTCAGAAATTCCGAGATCCGAACCAGAAACAACAGCAAGTCACTTTGAGGAATGTCCAGGATATAAAAAAAGCTGACATCCAGTGGCAGCTTGGGATGAATGCAAAATCAGCAATCAGCCAAGTCCTGGATATTCGTGCGCTTCTCATATCTGCTCAACTAGTCAGTCGTACCTAGCTGGACCTGATCAGAAAGCCACCGTCAATCCAAAGGGCCTATTTTCTTCACTCCGATCAAGGAATCCGAATGTAAATGGAAGAAAAGACTTCTAATCCGCTCTTGGCCGGAGTGTAAACTTTTGATCTGATATCAATCGGAGACTGCGCATGTGGTAACCCTATCATACTATGTAGAAATCCTACGTACGATATAGAGAGAGATAGTCAAAAGTAATCATTGGACAAGATAAGAACTAAATGAACCAAATACTGGAATACTCGCACGATGAGATCAATGGACAGGGTTGAATCGTCCTAGTGGGCATAGCAGAGAAAATGATTGTGATGTTGAATCCTTTGCTGTGATCGGTCCTACCTATTGCGTTCTCAGCTCAGGCAAATCCAATAACTTCAGTCGATCGTCCCTTAGCATCCTCTCTGTTGTAACCCGGTCAGGATAGTTCCTCATGAACATGTTTGTAAAGTGGGTTCCATAATGAATGCTTTCAGCTGGAGGCTGATCATCATAAAGCTTCGCAACTGGGGGAATCACAGCTTGGAAGCTAGGTTCATGGAAGTAGGCAAAGGCAAATCGCTCCCTGGTATTGAGGCCGACCTTGTGGGGGGTGGATGGTAGGTACGAGTTGGTCATGAACTGCATTATATCCCCTAAAGAATTGAAATCGAACATTTTAGTATGCTGAATAGGAATTTTGAAGCATTTGTAGAAGGCGATGAATAGACAAACCTGGGAATACCGTGAAGACTCCAGGCACAGGAGGTACATAGACCCATCGTTCATCGTCTTCGCGGAAGCCAGCAGCGCTTTTCTTCCAATTCTCCAGCTTCTCATCAGCTGCTGGGGGGCGAATAAATAGGCCTTAAATGATCAATGAAATGAACATATGTCTAAGGATACAACGGAAATCTCACCTCCAACCTCATCCTGGCCTGCGATGACCAAGAGACCGTAGTCCGTGTGGGACCCAATGCCGCGCCCCTCTTTTCCTCTTCCGTTGGTCTTATTGTTTTGAGGGAACCTAAACGTCAAGGTCAAAATACATTAACAATCATTCTTAAAAAGAACCGAACCCATATAACCTACCTTAGGACACGGAGATGGTGCCATCCATCCTTGGTTAAAGAGGTGAGAGTCTTAGGATCCAGACTGAGACCGTATTCAATCATCTGCAGCAGCGTCTCTCCGCTATGACCCAAAGAGTCCATGTACTGTTGTATAGTGGTCTTCATATCGCTATCTGGCCAAGGGCAAGGACCATGGCAAGGCCACTTGGCTTTAACTCGAGGCTCGTCTAGAGGAAGATCCTTAGTGACCGTAAATATCTCTGAATAATCAGCGACACCATCTGTAATTTCTTCCCCAGAGGCAATATAGCCGGCGTAGCTCTGATCGTCCACGCATGCAGCCTTCTGGGTAGGAGGCATAGCAAAGAACCGGTTACTAGCAGCAGACGCTTTATCAAAGAGATCCTGTTGCTTAGGACTCATCGAGACCTGAAGAATACCATCTTCACGCCACGCATTGATCATAGCCTTCCCCATTTCAACATCTGTGGGGGATCCAGTAGCCTTCTCGGGCAAAGTGAATGTCTTGAGCTGCCCAACACGAGCCACAGTATTTGGTGGCATCGTGCTACCTATGTCGCTCGGCGTTGTAGTAGTCATGAGGCCTTTTGCCTGTTGGTGCGGAAGAAGTGTTGGGCTCGCATGGCGAATGGAGTTGTGGAACATAATTGGTGGGCGTAGTGCGATAGTGATACTCCTACGTGAGAGCATGTTCTGCTCAGCTATCAGCCTTTATCTAAAGTCGGTGTTCGATCAACTTACTAAACAGCTTTATAGTAGAGAGACAATGGTATGCTGCTCTCAACATTTGGGGAATATCTCTCTACTTATAGGCCGTTAATGGTGGTATTTACAACTACCTTAGACAATAAGTGAGACTGTATGAAAATGCCTCACACCCTTTTGCGAGGGAATATTTGTAAAATCAATCCCCTCTAGGTTAGCTACATGGGAGCCTTCTTATTAACCATACTGGATTCGGCAGTTAAAGGGAGAATGACGACTTGGATATTTTCGAGCCACCCTTCGTGGTTATAGAGCTCACCCTTTTTATGCAGCAATGGGGTAAGAATGATCGCTTATCACGAGATCAAACTTGATCATTTGGGAGCCCAGACATTTCTTTGACCCTTCTTTCTATCAATTATTGCGACCTTCCCTGTAGGATATATTTCCACTGGAAGGCCCTACCGCGGGGGTGGGTTCCATGATGGCCAAACTGGGGTTCGATTGGATGGCTTACTATCGCCTTGTCATTTCATATTGGCTTACGTATTGGCCTATATATTGGCCTAACTTGAAAACTGGCTAAGGGTGGTTACACAGAAACGACATCCCTGGAAATCAAATTTATGCCAAGAATACTATATCACCGGTGCCTTAGTCCATGGATGACCTCGTAATCACCTCCGGAGTCGTCTTGACTTTTTGCCTCTAGCGCGCAACTGTTGGAAGGTTACGATCACATTAAATGTCGTCCCTAATAGCTGGTGATGTTGAGTGAGTTATCCGAGATTTATCTATATCATACACATAATTATGTTGTAGGGTGCGTATCTCGAACTTTGCACCGAGTACGGAGTATTGCTAAACGTCTCATCTTCTGGGTCCTTATGACCAAATCAAGCAATGCGTAGTAGGAATGCACTGCCGCACACTAAGTCCCTCACTGCGCCCAGGCGACATGCGGCAGTAAGATTGAGAAGCGCGACCAAGAAAAAGGAACGAATCGACTTCATCCTACGGGGCTCAAAAGATTACATCAGCGTTTCAGGGCCCAAATATCGATATATTGATGAATAATCTTGGAGAAAAATGGAGATAGACGAGAAATAGGAAGTGGACGAGAACAAGCAATACTTGCTAATGACGGATGTACTTTTGTCACATGCTTTTTTTGGTGTACAAATATCAAGTCAATTGACTTTGATACATTTCCAATGTATTAGATCTGTTGATCCTACCCGATTTCGGTAAGAGTTAACAACAGTGGCGAACATCAATGATTTCGAGACTGGATGAATTAGTAGTAGAATGTTGTTATATATATTTCGGAGGTTGATAACCGGAGAATCTCCACTATATAACTAGCCGGTGCACGACTTAAAGTATACCCGGTCCTTGCCAAGCAACCCAAAGGGCGTACCTTGTATAAATTAATTCCATGACGATCGCCATACAGGGATTTCAACCAAAAATGATAATAGTAAAAAATCCGTTATGATATCAACCGTCCATGACGTAGTAGGCCCTACAGGCATCGTGCCTGGTTATGGTATCTATATGTACTATGATGGTGAACTTATTTGACGATATCAGAATCACTGAAGCCTTTATATAAACACATAACCCGTTCTTGAAATTATTCAGTTCATTATACAAACTTATTCTGTTTCTATCTATCTAGACTACCGTCTACCAATACCGTGTGCCCGGGAATTGTACATTATCAATCCAACCGCATACGTTTGTTTCTACGAAGAACACCTCACGCCTAACGGACACAACTGTATTACATTCAATCCGCAATTATCCAACTGGATTTTGATTCTTCATATCAACAACAGCTTAACAAACATCCAAAACAAAACCAAAACAACAATGTCTTCCCCCGCCGTGAGAAAAACACCCCCAAACCCACGAAGAAGACAACAACAACCCGCAAACTCCCCCAGAAAGCCCCTGAACTAGCCGACGACGACATCGAAGAGCAATTCATCCCGGAGACGCCCTCTCCGAGCTCGAAGAAGCGCACTGAGCAACGATGCCCCATCTCCCCACCCGACGAGGCAGCCTCCCAGGCGCCTTCCGCCTCCGCCTCCGCAACATCACTCGGCCGCGCTGCGTCTGACTTAGCTGGTAAGGCTCAGGGCCTTACCGGGAAGATGAAGGAGACAGCGAAGAAAGGTTCCGACAGTGTCCAGAATGGCGCAGCCAGACTGTCACCGCCCTTCGGCTTTGTGTTGCTCGGCGCCGGCAATGAGCTCGGCGCGTCCAAAAACCTTGCCATTGTCACCCCAGATCTGGCCATTGCCATCGACCTTGCATCCGCGAGGCGCTTGTCGCCTTCGACGATACGTCCGACGACAGCGCCAGTCGCGGGATCAACCATGTTACTAGGCTTGTTGACCACCTTGCGCTCGAGGATAGAGAGGTCTTCCTCGACGTGGCCCTCCTGGGGAGGCTCGTAAGGCTCAGCACTACCCTTGACATTGCCGTGCTTATCGGTAGTCTCGCCATCCTCATCGACAGCGCGACCACGAATCTTTTTAGCGTCACCTTCAATTCAATAAGCTTACCAACAATGGATTCCTCATCATCCTCGACGTATCCATCCTTGGTCACAAAGAGGCTATCTATGCCAGCGAAGAGACTCTCCGGCTTGCTGTCGAGCTCATCCTCGGGAATAAGCTCAACACCACCAACGATCTTCTTTCCGTCGTAGATCTCGCCATCCTCAATCTTTTTACCGGCAAGCTCCTTGGGGTTGCCCTCGACAAAACGGGCAATGGGATACCCATCGGGTCCGATGGCATAGCCAGCCTTGTTACAGGAGAGACCATTGACGGCAGAGAAATCAGGTCAAACCACTTCCTCCTCCTCGGACTCTTTCTCGGGTTCGAGGCGCTCAGCGCGTCCAATGACATTACCCTTTCGGCCCAGGATTTCACCATCTTCGTCGACGACACGACCACTCAGTTTCTTCGCAACGCCTTCGATCAGGCGGCCGACACGGGTCGAGTTGTCGTCTTCGACAAAGCAGTCTTCGTCGTCCTCCTCCTCAACCGGGAGGGCCTTGGCTTGGCCGATCACGTTGCCGCGCTTGTCTCAGAACAGCCCTTGTCGTCGAGTGTGGCCCCGAGCTTGGATATCTTCTTATCGTGACCTTTGGTGAATTGGCCAACGGCTTGCCGGTGGATTTGTCGATGATGTAGCCGAGTTTGTTGCAGACCGGCCCTTCGAGTGTCTCAAGGCCAGGAATTTGCTGGTCCACGTCTTCAACCGCGTCTTCGGCGGTTTCCTTCGGCTGTTCGGTGGTATTTTCGGCAGTGGCTTTGGTACACTCGACCATCTATCTCATCGAAGGTATACGCCCCGTCATCACCGGCGTCTTCGGCTGTATTCTTAGCACGTTCGACATTGTCTTCGAGGTCAATGCTGTCATCTTCGACGGTGCCTTTGGCACCACCAGCAGCACCTTCAATCGCCTTTTTCTGCTCCTCAACAGGAATTAAATCAACACGACCAACGGCATACCCATCTTCATCGACGATCTCACCATCCTCATTGAGTGTATACCCAATAAGATCTTCTAGGTAACCCTCAAATCTGACCAGCAGCGTTCTTAATAACACCGCCACCAGAAACAGGAAGTCCTTCAAGCTGAGCAATATCCGTAACCATGTTCCCCAGAGTAACCTCTCGGACTCCTGAGCATCATCAGCGGCATGATTAGCCTGGTCCGCGACCTCTTGAAGGATATCAACGCGACCAATCAAATCGCCTTCCTCATCGATAATCTGCCCACCATCGCCGACAGTGTCTCCGACAAGATACTCCACGTCTCCGTCGACAATCCTGCCAATAGGGCTCCCATCCTATCTAAGGATATCCCCACCCTCGGCGACCTCAAGACCCGTCAATGCAGATAGGTCAAAAGGTACGGGTAGGTTAGTTTGGACAACGTTGTAGTCGGGAAGGATGGAGCCATCCAAGACGGCGAGAAGATCATCGGACCTCTGATTGAATGCGACGCCAAGCGCCTTCTTGGCCACAAGGTTGACGAGGACGGTGATATCCTCGACAAGAACGGCAACACTATCGGCAAGGCAGAGCGCTGGGAGCCCGAGGAGAAGAAGCGCGATGTCATTCCCATGTCTGGGCACATGATCACGAAGGAGGGCGAAGTCCGCGATGCGGACGGCAACCTTGTTGGAAAGCTGACTTCGGGTAACCTCGCCACACTACTCGGTAAGACTATCGACGACAGTGCATATGTTGTTGACAACGATGGCAACAAGATTTGCGAATGCACCTTACTTGAGATCATCCCCGAGCCTGAGCCCGAGGAGCCCGAAGAGGAGGAAGAGGAGGGCCCAACGGCCGAAGAGCGGGAGGCTGCGGGAAAGGCCGAACCCGACCGCCAGGTCGCCGGGAAGATGATCTCCATCCTCAGCCAGACCCTCGATCGAGTCAAGCCTGTTTGCAAGTAGATCGAAGAGGCAAGTTCCGACCCCGATATATGAATCCCACGAAAGGAAGTATACTAACACCACATCTAGGCCTGCGAAAAAGCCGACCAAACCCCTAAAGAGGAACTTGACGAGGAGAAGCTTGTTTAAACCGTTAGGCCGCTCCTCGAAGAAGGCGGCCGCATTCTGCAAGAATGCAACGGAGGCATTCGGGCACTCGACCCTGATAGACGCATCGCCGCGACCGCTAAGGCGCGCGCTACTCTCCGTGACGCCAGTCCCGAGGAGTACCAGCTTGCCGACATGATCAAGGAGCTCACAGGGACGGTCATCAAGACCATTGACAACGGCAAAGGACGTGTCGCTGATATGCCTTATGCTGAGAAGAAACTGAACACCCTCTGGGGTCTGCTCTCAGAGCCATTGTTCCAGATCATCGCTGCCGTTGGCTTGTTGCTTAATGGGGTGCTCGGACTAGTTGGTCGTTTGCTAGATGGTCTTGGACTTGGTGGATTGTTGAATGGTTTGCTTGGCAGTATTGGATTGGACAAATTGATCAATGGGCTTGGTCTGGGCAGTTTGACTGATGCTCTTGGTCTTGGAAAGAAATGATAACTTGGGATGAAGTTGGTTTGAACTTCTTGTTGGAGGTCCTTTCTGGCGTTTGTTGCTTTTCTAATTCCCAGTACTGTGAATTCTGTGAAGATTAATGAACTCGGACTTGATTTTGATTCATTTTGATCTATTCACAAATATTAATGGTCTCGTAAGTACAGGTATGCAGAAGAGCAGGGTACAATTCCCATGCTTGGTTTCATCAAGATCCATCCCTCAGGGATTTGTTATATCTCTCATCAGATCAAAGATACTAACGCATATGTAGAAGGAATGGACATGTTCATAATTACAATGAGGTTGAACATTTAAACAATGCACCGCTCGGGGCGCTTTTGTGGCAATTCCCAACGGGGGAACTGTCCAATTGAACTAGTGTCGATCGTCGAGTCTTGCATAGAAGATGGCGTGGCGTATACTAAGTCAATGTGTCTTTGATGTGTCAGTCGAAGCGTGAGACTGATCTGTGTGGGACGATTCACCGAGGTTGCGATAGGCTCTGTCTCTGGCAGCACCCTTATCCTTTCGGATAGTAAGGCAGTTGATACCGAGGAAAGTTGTGATGCGGTTGATGACGAGAACCGCCCAGTGCATGTAGATAACCAGGGCGAAGAAGAAGTATACCCAGAGATACAACATTTCCAACCATGGGGCAATGACCGGGAAGCCGATTATGGGCAGATTGATGAGGACTGCGCCACCGATGAGGGGAGCTTGCATAATAGTCCAGAGGGGGAAGGGCTGTCTCAGAAGATGGGCCAAAATGATCATGGTGGTCATACGTCCGAAGACGAATGCAATAACCCAGCAGAACAAAACGAGGTGGTTCCCGGAAAGAATTGTTGAGTAAGGCGAGAACAACCAGGCAATGTTGGAGAAAGTGAAGACGATCATAGGCACCCACTCCTTAAGCAGCGGGGTGAACGGCAAGCCCTGCTTCTTGCGGGCCTCGGCTACATTCATAACACATCCGGGGAGATGTCCGAGGAAGAAGCCACCCAGGAGAATTGGAACCCAGATGTCCTTGATGGAGTTGTTGCCGAAGATTTGAGGGAAGTTAAGGAATCCAACGATGGGCTGAGACCACATTCCAGGGCCCCAGATGCCGGAGGCAATCATAGTTGCACAGGCGATGATCAGACCCTCAGTCGGGCCATTGAAATAGCCGAGGTAGAGGGTGTGGGTGTGGAAGGTCTCCCATGTCGAGAAATACATGGCCAAGCAAGGCACGAGTGCAGTCCAAGCACCAAGTTGCGAGGCTCCGAAGCCCATTGCGGCTGTCGACAGCAGACTGGCTAGGGTACAGTTCAAAGAGTCGATACCGTGACTGTACCTGATTAGTGATCAATCCATGGCTTCTCGGGGGGGCGGTACAAACTCAAAAAGTTCTCCGAGTCCACTGGACGTCCCAGTTCGGCGTGCCTGTTTACCATCCACATTGTCGAGGGTAGAATACCTAGTTCATGTGAGTTTGAATCATATAGATGGAGGGGTAGGTGGTCGTTTACATCCACATGCCAAGAGCAAAGCTGTAGTAAATCCAAGCGGGGCCCTAAAATATTATCTGGTTAATTCGCCACTTCCGATAAAACACCAGGTAAGGAACAGGAACAGGGATAACTCACGGGTCCCACCATATCTGGCACGAAAATCTGAATGATAAAGATATTGGCCACGATCCACATGAACCCAAGAAGGGTCACCATGTTCGGGGCCATCCACATCGGCACAATTTCGACGAAGGCATTCCACTGAGCAGGGGAAAAGTCAATTGTTTATTCCGAAGTAAGTAACTCGTGCAGGGTCTGAAGGTTGTCATACGTAGTGCTTCAGGATATACCGAGAAATGAACGACTTGTCAACACTCGAGTATTTGTAGGACTTAAGGGGGAGGAGGGCATCGTCGGAGAGGGAATCCTGGGTCTCTGTAGCGGTTGAACGTTTCGAATTAGCAAATTTCTCAGACTAAACAAACCGGTCACGGTCTTCATATCACCAACCTTGGACCATCTGATATATCGCGTTCATTTTTGAAGATTAGGTCGTGTCACGCGCGGAGTTGAGGTATCGTCGGGGAGTTAAATACCAACACCTCAGTTCATAGCGAGGTGGGCAAACAAGTGGGTAAAATGGGACAAATGCACAAATCAAATCATGCCTTTCAACACAAATGTCGACTCTCAAGAGAACGTGGAGAAAAGGAGAAGCGGGAAATGTCCCAGACGGATTTTCAGGTCGAAATCACGTGCCATGATCCGCATCGGGAACGCGAACAAGGGAAGCTCGCCTTGACCGAGATCTCACGGGATTCGCCAGCGCATTGTTCGGACTTAAGTTGCATTCCCGCATCTAAGTGTGCCCTCGAAATTCATTGACTGCGCCTCACTTAAGCCTTTGTCTGGCCTAAGATCTACCTCACCGCCGTGCGATACTCGATAGTGCACCGTCAGCGCCCATTTCGCATTTCACCGTCATCTGGAGCTCAAATCTGCGCAACGCGAACTACTCTCGGTTTTATTTCCGCCCTCGACGCTACAATAACCTATCGAGTCTGGTTGGATATGACGGTGGATGGTCATCACAGCGCTCCCCCGCGCATCTCGTCACTGAGGAAGGAATCTTCAGATCTTCTTCACGATGCCGGGTGTTGTCGAACTCCCCGTTAGTTCCGCGGCACGCCCATTTGATCTGGGATTCAGCGTGGGACATCAAAAAGTCGAACTTGAGATCGATCTCGCTTCCAAAAGTCTGAAAGGAAGGACGGAAATCACAATTCACCCTCGCCGCAGAGATCTAGGAACAATTTGGTTGAATTTTCGACAAGGCGAGGTCAAGCAGCTGAGCGTTAATGGCAAGCCTGCAACAACAAAATACACCGATCATTACGAGTCGCTACAACTCTATGGTGTACACTATCACGAACGATTGACACCAAAGATCGATAGCCTCTTACAAACTCCCCCAAGACCTACCCTACCCATCACGATTCCGAAGGGTGTCCGCATCGATGAACTGGATCCATCTTCAGCCGAAGCACAAGATCAAATCGCTCTACAATCTACTGTCGACAATGTCGATGGCCCTTCAAGTGCCAGGGGGCCAGAGGCAAACCTTGCGCGATTTACGACTCTGACAGTAAACATCGAATTTGTCATTGATCATATTCGTGATGGCTTACAATTTGTCGGTGTCGAAAATGGAGATCGACGGTATCCTCATGCCTATACCACCAACTCACTCGAGTCTGGCATCGGCTGTCCCTTGTTTCCGTGCGTGGATGATGTATCCTCGCGATGTACCTGGGAAGTTTCCATAACATGTCCTAACTCTCTTGGTGATGTCTTCGACCACAAAAGCCACGACGCGCCCGGTGCAGCACCCTCATCCCGCTCCAAAGCGCCGACCCGCCAACTTTCTGCGGACGATGAGGGCTTAGATATGTCCGTGGTGTGCTCCGGCGAGTTGACTGATGACATTGTGGACCCCAAGGACCATACCCGCAAAACAGTTTCGTTCGCCTCATATTCACCATTGGGAGCCTTACAAATTGGATTCGCTATTGGTCCATTTGAGTATGTCAACCTAGCCGATTTCCGCGAAAGTGACCAGGATGAACAACTTGGCCAAAATGCTATTCCTTTACACGCATTCTGCCTCCCAGGTAGAGCCGACGAAGTCCAAAACAGCAGTTTTCCCATGGCCCAGGCGATCGACTTCTTTTCTTTGTCGTACGGGTCGTACCCATTCGGCAGTTACAAGATCTGTTTTGTCGATGACCTCCCGACCGATAGCCTTCCCACTGCGTGCATGTCGATCTGCAGCAGCCACCTACTCTTCCCAGCCGAGATGATCGACCCCATGTATGACTCTACTCGGGCTCAGGTGCACGGTCTAGCATGTCAGTGGACTGGAATCAACATCATTCCTGCTGAGCCCTCGGATACATGGGTGACAGTTGGTGTGGCGTGGTACATTACAGATACTTTCATGAGAAAACTCTGCGGAAACAACGAATACCGTTTCAGACTAAAGCAGACATCTGACCAAGTCTGCGACTTGGATTATGAACGCCCCTCGATATATGATATGGGTAACATTCTCAAGGTTGATCCCTCCGAATATCGCTTCGTTGCATTGAAAGCGCCTTTGGTCTTGTTCATTCTAGATCGCCGACTGACCAAGGCTAGTGGCAAAGCCACGATGTCTCGCATTATTTCTCGACTTTTCCTAAACTCCCGGATGGGTGATATACCCAATGGAGCTGTCACCTCGTCCCTGTTCCAGAAGACCTGTGAACGACTGGGTCACGCAAAATTAGACGTCTTCTTCCAGCAATGGGTATATGGTGCAGGATGTCCACGATTCCAGGCAACCCAACGGTTCAACAAGAAGAAGCTGGTGGTGGAAATGATGATCAGACAGGTCCAATCTGAACCCCAAGCCCCTCGCGATCTCGACAAGGATTCCTTCTTGCGTGACGTGAAGGAAGAGGTCCGGCACGTCTACGCGGGCGCAGTTCAGCCGGTCTTCACTGGGTCGATGACCCTTCGGATTCACGAGGCAGATGGAACACCTTATGAACACATCGTTGAAATCAAGGAGGGGGTGACGAAGTTCGACATTCCATACAACACGAAGTACAAAAGGCTCAAACGAAACAAAAAGCAGCGAGAGAGAGCCGTCGCCTCGGGCGATACTGAAGTCCAAGAAGAGGTTCTGCTCTATTGCCTGGGGGATGTCCTCCAGACAGAAGAAGAGACACAGGCTTGGCATTTGGCTGACTGGACGAAAGAAGACGAGGAGCGAATGGGGCAGGAATCCTATGAGTGGATCCGAATGGATGCAGACTTTGAGTGGATCTGCAAACTGTCTCTCGGTATGCCTGGGTACATGTATCTCTCCCAGCTTCAACAAGATCGAGATGTTGTGGCCCAGCTCGAGGTGAGTTATATTTCTGTTTTCAACTAATACGAACACGATGCTAACATTCCCAGTCGTTACAATACATGACTGCTCAACGAGAGCACCCTCTAATTTCCACCATCTTCGTTCGCACTCTCATGGATAGTCGATACTTCCATGGCATACGTACCACAGCTGCACGTGCCTTAGTGAAGCATGCTAAGGATGAGATTGATTGGGTTGGACTGCATCATCTTGAGATGGCATTCCAGGAGCTTTTCTGTCTCCCGGGATCTCCCATGACTCGCTCAAATGACTTCTCCGACAGAGCGGCCTATATCCTACAACAAGTCATCCCAGACGCAATATCCAAAGTCCGTGACAACAGTGGGAAAACTCCATTAAGGGTCAAGCGATTCCTTTTCGATAAACTCAAGTTCAATGACAACTCGAACAACGAGTACTCAGACAATTTCTATGTTGCGTCCTTGATGAAGTCCCTATGCCATGCCATGCTCGGTAAGAGCGAGGCGCGGACCGATGAAGAGTTGGACCATTTCGATATGGAACGTGTTCTTGAGGCTCAGGCCGAGGAACAACTGGACAAGGATGCCATCGCCGAGTTTGATCGCTATCGACGAATGGACGAATGGTCAAGCTCTTTCCAAAACCTATACTCCCGAGCCGCACTTCAATGCCAGGCGCAATTAATGCAAGCCAAGATGATGGACCTGGATTTGATGCGTTTCATCCCCTATACGCGAGCAGGAACCTATGACCTTCTCCGTGTGCAAGCATTTCAATGCTTGGTGGACCTGGATATTTCCCAGAGTCCGGAGCTTCTTCGATGGCTAATGTTCACATTGTCAGCTGATTCTTCGGCCTGGATACGCCACCAATCTTTACGTTTGCTTGGTCAGACCTTAGCACATATTGCTTTTGGTCGTCCTCAACAAACTGAGGCCTTCCAAACTGATAGTTTGATCATCGAACAAGAATCATCCACTCAAATCCGCCGCGACGATATAGCACGACGCCAGACTATTCCTGGCGCCATTGAAGCCCTCAAACGAGAGCTTGTTGGCGACGCTCCGATGAAGGAATACATGTGGTCAGCATGCAACTCACCGTGCATGGGCCTCTTGGAACTTTCCGAGCTCACTGACCTTTGCCGTACGCTGTACGACCCAATCACCTCTAAGCTCGTGCGGATGAAACTTCCGCGATATTGGAGCGTGCAAAACCAGGGTCATGGCAAGTTGCGTTTCTATCGATCTACCAAAGCTCGCATGGGTCCGTCTTCCAAGCGCAAACGCGAGGATCAGGGCACGCACCCACCCTCATCAACTCGCATAACATTCAAACAGGCCAAGACTGGCCACGCTCCAGGAACGCCCACCCCCAATCATCTCCCCAAAATCCACATTCCCAGACCATCGCCTGCGCTAAACGCAACTCCCAAAGCCCCTGCCACATCTACACCCAAGCTGAAGCTCAAGTTTGGTGGTCGACCAACATGAATATCTAACGCTGTTCCTTCAAATATCACATGTATTTTAACCTTATCCCCTTTATTATTTCCCCGTACCCATTGACTCAGGCAGGAGGAGGATCCAAAGCATGCTCCTAGGCTCCATGTCGATTCAGCTTTATCTTCTGATTGCAATACCAGCTAGCTGTGCCTTATGTTCGTTCCCCTGTAATTTCCAGTGTAGGTGTAGACATCAAAAGTCATTGGGATAGTCATAGTAGTCTAAAACGCGCCCTGGCAAACGAGTAGAAAAAAAGTAGAACAGAAAAAAGGTTTTGATTGTTCCCATAAGAGAAACCGACCCAGAAACTCCCAGTAGCATTAGATCTTTTCCCAGCACTCTGTGATCGAGTGGCGCCTATATGTGTGCCCCTTCCATCAAGGAAACGTCGTAGATTGTGTGTAGATGTGTGGCTTATTTGTCGGTAATGCGCTCGAGGGCCTCGAGCATCACGATGGAGTTACCGCGAATGACCTGATAACGAGTATCTGTTAGCGGGATTCTAAATATCTGTCGACAGGAATTGAATGTACGATCATGCCAATGGCGACCTTCTCTCCGCCGTTCTTCTCCTCGAATGCCTCATCTAGAACAACGTTCATGAAGACCTGGGCGAAAACATCGTTAGTTATTCCCCGCTTGATTGGCACTGTCTTTGTCTCGTCTTTCCCGGCGGGCCAGGGATGCCCTAGTATCCTGAAAGACGAGGTCAAGGGGCATGGACATACATCGTAGCCTCGGACAATACCAATGACTTTGCGGTTGCCGTTCAGTTGGCAAAAGACCCGCTTCTCCATGTACTGTAGAAACGACACGACGTCAGCTGAGATCTCGGAACCAAAAAAAGAGCGACACAGAATAGGAGCAGCAGCACTGACCTTCTTCAATTCGGGTTGAGCTTGAGGCATATTGGGCGAGTTGGTTGGGTATCTTGGGGTTTGGCAAGATTCAAGTCTCCGCAGTGGCTTTGGGAGTTTGGTGCAAGCTGTGTCGGAGAAACAATATTCCGGATACGAGATACGCGATAAGAGCAGCTGTTCCCTCAAGCTCACGTTCACGCCACCAATTCGTATCCCTTTGTTTTCGCCTCACTTGATTGCTGGATAATTCCAAATATGATCTCTAAATTTGGAAATCGCAGAAAGCCCCGCAAGGTCGGTGGAGATGACGAGGAAGATGATGCTGGAGGCGCTGCGTCAGGTATGTGGGCCACGATTACTTTTTTTTTTACCCCTAGATATTCGCCTACCAAGGTCGCAGCTGACATGAAGATTTACAGAGCCAGTCGTTAAGCGCCCAGCTGCCTCTAGGCCGAAGCAAAAATCCAAGTTGCAGTTGTCATTTAGCGCCGAGACGTCAATGGACGATGGAGACGGAGATAGCGAAGTAGTCCTACCGAAACGTCACGGTCTGGGGCGCAAGGCAATGGAAAGGAACGCCGGTGTCCTGCCTTCAGTGTCTTCGGAAACCCTTGCTGCGCGATTCGGCCAGGACCCAGACCGGCCTACCTATAGCCCTGACTATTTGAAGGAACTTCGCGAGTCCACGCCCTCAACACCGAAGACAACAACCGACAACGAAACCAGCAAGAGTGTTGATGTTGCAGCGAAGTTCGGGGAGATTATGACTGTTCCGGCTCAAGCACACATCCCTAGCGAAGCCGAGATTCGGGAGAAAAAAGCCCGACGTACACGTCTGGCTATGGAACACGGTGCGGGAGCGGACGAGTTCATTTCATTAGACGTTAACAATGCAGCCAACATCGATGACTGGGATGCGGTTGTACGAGGGGAGAAAGAAGTCGAGGAAGACACAAGACTTGTTCGGGACGATGAGGACTTTGCTGAAGGGTTCGAGGAATTCTTCACGGAGGATGGCAAGATGGCGCTCGGCCGAAAGGCAGAGCGCGAGAAGAAGCTGAAGGACCGTGAAGCCATGCGTGATCTCATTGAGGATGCCGAAGGTATTTCCGATGAAGACTCTGACGTGGAGGAAAAGGCCGCCTATGAAGCTGCTCAGCTTCATGCGGCGATGGGCTACGGCAAGTCAGGTGGTATTGATCGTCCGAAGACCCCTCCCAGGGTGACATCTCTTCCGCGACTAGCTAGCAGTTTTGGACGATTACGCACGTCTCTCGCATCCATGGAAGTCTCCAAAACACGGATGATCAGCCGGATGGAGGAATTGAGGAAGGAGAAGGCAGATATCGCGATTCGTGAGGTGGAGATCCAGGCGATGATCAAAGAAGCTGGTGACAACTATGAGCGACTCAAGAAGGAAGCTGTTGTTGCTTCGAACGCAAAACTCGATGCCTCCAGTGGAGCTCTGGAAAAGTCCCGAGGATTGGAAAGTATCGGTACTCCTGTGCCTGCGCCAGTCAGAGGTTCCTCAATGTCGGATTCTTCGAGTTCCAGCTTCGAGCATTCTTCATAGCGCTCTCCTTCCTGTACCAGTACCTGTACCTACCTGCCAGGTGGCCTGGATGCTCAACTTCATCTCGGCCATTACTAGGTTCCCTTGCATCGTCCTTGTGGAGTCTTCCTTATTGCTTTCGATACCCAATGAACGAGTTCTGTATTCTATTTTCATTTGCCTACCCTTAGGTTTGTTGCCTTTTTAACCCAGAGCTACATATTAGGTTCCCCGACCACTCTCAAAATGCTAGTTAACATGCACTATCACAACACGACCCATCTCGACCTGACAACTGAGTTGACGCCTCACTGACTGGCTCCAACGGATAAGCCCAGTGTGGCTATCAACGGCTGAAACTTTGATGTGATACAGGACCTTTATGTACCTTATCGAAATAGTGGCGCCCATTAGATGACAGTGATGCTAGGCCTATCAACATTTCTCAAGCTTGGAACAGATTTCCCACGCCATGATGGACTCTACGGTATACCAACATCCCTGGAGCCGCCTGGGCAACTCCAAAAGTAACCTTTTACACATTGACCAAGGCTGGTTTCGACTCGCCTGATCAGGATTAAGCTCATTAGGCACCCATGCCACCTGACCGTTATATGTGTCTCGCCGCTCGGGGCACAATCAATGCTATCACCAAACTGCGGTCTGCAGAACACGATGACTTTGCTACACCCAATTGCCTTGTTATGGCTCGCGTCACTCCTTGTGGCCGTGTACACCTGGGTTTCAACTTCTCACTGTTAACTAACATCACGCCCCTTGTCCAATCATTCTCTAACCAGTCATATCCGGGCACAAATTAATTCTACACCACCCGCTTCAATGTCCGCGTGGACCCTATGCTGATTATCATTGGAGATATATTCAATCCAGTCACTTGAATTGTCAACAAGACGGTGCGGCCGGCCGGGTGGACCGTCTGCCCGTCTGTCCGTTTGCCTAATATTTCCTCCTATTATGTTTTTGCAATCTCTTGCTTTACATACACGTCTTTCTCGCAGACGCTAACCTCCCTTTCCGGCAGTGTTTACCTACGTGTATGTACATAGTAAGAGAGGCTTTGAGCGTTATATCATGAATCCCGGATAAACTACAGCATTTTTGTCATCCCGTGGTCTTTCTTCTAGCAGCTGCGAACTCCAGGGGCCCCTGTACATCATTCTCTTTGAACTATAACAAAGCATCGGGAAACTCTCTGGATTCCAGTGTACTGCCCTTTCCTTGGAAGAGTTCGCGGAACGCTCAGGGGCAACAGGCATCATACTCCTATACCACGTTATCGCGATGATCGCTATCATCATTGTAGGGTCCTATACGCGAAGCCATGGCTAGGCACTAGCAGGTTTCTTCGCATCCGGGACAAGCGGCGAAATGGCCGCGGGACTACGAGCAGTCATGTTTCATATCTTAAAGGAGGCACCAGGCGTCGTGAAGTTTGATGGATTCAACCGATTCTGTAATATTACAAATTCCGATAAAGAAGTTTATGATTACAAAATCTGTCGCCGGCCAAAGCTTCTAACTTAGCCTGTACCCCCGCGTGGACTCCATGATATCAATAAGACTGAGTTAGGTTATTAGTGCGAGTACTCAGACCACGTCAGTGTTCAGGTTATTCATGGATTACATGGATTTGATGGCTTTGGGCTTGTTCTCCAGAAGCATTGGAGCATTATAAAAGTACATCCCCAGTAATTTCAAGGTTACTAGTGAGATGGTCCTGATGGCTTCTCCTTCCATCAGGTTGAGTCCCAGTGCATGAGGTGGTATACTCTGTCACCTTCCAGTTCGCTATTTGTTTGCGGCTGAAGCTGCCTCCTGTGGCGAGTCAAACTCATATAATATTACTAAAGAACAATGATAGTATGAGGATTAGATATGTGGATACATATTTTGGATCCTGTCTTGAATAACCACTTTCTTACTTCGGAACAGGTCGTGCTACCATTTGCCCAAAGCACTACAATATAATACTCACACCTCTACACCTATTTTGGGGATCCTAGAGAACTAAACTTGTAGAAAGCAGAGCATATGCCCTATATATCTGCGCACTAACTTGGTAGACAATTTCCCGGCCACTTGGTGCTCTAGCCTGGAGATAATATTTAAGGACATGATTTCACCTTCACCAGCCTCCGAATATATATCAAGCTAGTTGGATGTTTGTATTTCGCTATCCGTTACATATCCTTCTTTTCATCTATACTGGCTTATTCACAAGCCAAAAATGCATAGTCTAAGCCTTGGTTCACATCATGCTCTCTGTTGCCCTAACATCTCATTGCCTTCTTCTGGGATTCCACCTATCTACTCTATAATCCGCACCGTTTCATGATCTCCCCGAAGACATTGTGCAGTTCTACTTCGAAACTACGGAGTAGTCATTCCATAGTTCATTATGGTCAAATTCCCTTCAGACCACTCCCTATTGGCTGACCTTTTGACTGGTTGATATCCTAGGACGACGCAGCTGGCCGACGGAAGCGGGAACGCGATGGGGGAGCTCAAACGTCTGGCGTCTGCACTGGGGATGGCCGTTACTGACTTCTTCTATGTGGCATTTCCTACCAGAAAATGGTATCATTATGAGTTCTACGGGGCCCTTAATCCAGTAGAGACATCGTGTTGTTCTATTGCCTTGATATTTGTGTAATATTCTCTCCTACTTTACGCTCTCTTGAGTGGGAATGGGTTTGTATTGTGTGTACGTACTCCTTCTCAAAGTCAATATTAAAACAACCATTTAGCCAATTGAGAGCAGGAAATCAATAACCCAGTCCACTGGTTAAGTTCCGATCCATGAGTAACATCTCCCCGCCGCCTCATGGAAGACTAGATTAGATATTACCGGCAGTAGAGGCCATAACTGAAAATTTCCGACTCTAAAAATGCCGCATACTTCCCGAAACCTTCGGTGGGAGGTAGAATTTGTGAAACAGAAACCAACACTGTGTCACAATGTGTCCTTTTAACTGGGAGTTGTTAGCGCACTAACCGCGACAGTGCATAGCTACATGCCAGCAAGCCATGGCCTGGAATGTGGTAGGTTGGACTGTTCCTCCCACCTCTGAATTGCGTATTATGTCTCAACTAGAAACCCATATTCCTAGTCTGCGACAAGTAGAGTCTATGTTAGGAAGGAGCCGAGTCCCCGTATGAGAATGAAGAAGAATCCTTCAGCTGCTGTCTCAAACGTCCCAACCATTGAAGGCTTTTTCGTTTCTGTTTTTAGCCAAACAGCCATTGCCCTTTATTTTGTTGATGTATTTGACATCTTTTTAGTGCCAACAAATCCAAAATAAACTACACGAAAGCAGACACTGAAAGTACCTACCCACAACCCCGGTATCCGGGATCCCCGAGCCCTAATTCAACCAATCAATAACCAACTGACAACCAACGGACAACAGGCTGCCGAGAGACTCCTTTCAAATTAGACAACACCAACCTCTTTTTTTTTTGCTTTTTCTGATTTCTTTCCTTTTGCTTCTCCGCTGATCATCCCTAGGTCCACTGTTCGTAGCAACACAACGCATCCAACCTGCCTGTTCCCACAACATCCCTTCCCCAGATTTGTTTCGGGTTTATCTAGGTCTTAATGCTGCCTGACATATTCTACACATCACCGTGGTAATACTATTCTGAAAACAATATGCAATAATAACAAACCATGATCTGCATATGCGGGAAATGAAGCCTAGCGGTCAATTGAGGCACCTGGAACCTGGAAAAGGTAAATCCCAAACCCACTAGGGCGGCAATTCCACAGACATGTAACACCAACACAACATTGCTTCAAAGAAACGAAATTTACTCGGGGCTTTCCCACAGGATCGGGAGCGCAGGTTCTCCCCTTCTAGCTAGGGGGCCGGACGGAATCTTTGCGCGTTCGCGCTGCTGCAGGCTCGTTTTTGATCTTTCCAGTTTCAACGCCACCTAGGCCATCCCAGCGGTCGTTAAAGAAGCTTCTTCTAAATATATCCATTTTTAGGACGGTGGAGATCCGGGGAAAAGGGGCACGGAGTTTTTTTCTGTGAAGTTCGCGATGTTTATTTATTTTTCTCGGCAGTAGCAGTTGTGGACGTTAGTGACGCGTTTTGTTTTGATGATTGAATTTACTCAAATATAATGCCACTCTATTCTAAGAGGAGCCCAGCAGAAAATATCCTGGCTAGAATCTTGTCGATCCTCATCCCTAAATCTCATAGGGCCATTCATGAACTCATGTTGGCACAACGAACTCCTGTGTTGGACGCTAAGCCTTAAAAGACTATATAGGTCACGTCCATTGACAGAATCTTCTCCAGCCAGCCTCCTACCAGGAAATTGCTTCTACCGGTATCCTATTTACATTGCTTTTTCTCAAGCAGGTTGGATCGGTCCCATTAGTCTCATTGGCCCGGATGCCACTTAGCTTTCCCCATAAGCTCTCTGTGGCTACCCGCTCAGGATGGAACATTCCAAAACTGCCCGAGCCACCGCCAAGTCATAGATCCCTAGAAAGTTTGTCGATCAGGTAGACCTGCAGACGGGTGCATAGCCCTGCCAAGGGTTGTACATGGTGGGGATCAACGATATCCGCGGCATACTATGCTGGGACCGTTGTCAACGGGGATGCAGTTCCGGGGCCAATTCACCCAGCACTTAGGATGGGATGAAATACAGATATAGTGGGCAAAGGAAAAAAAAAAAAAAAAAAAAAAAACAAATATCCAACGGAGATATATTGACTTGGACCTAACGGCCGGGAGCGAAGATCTTCTTCACGAAGCCCGTCGAGAATACAACCCGTCCACTATTCGCTCTGGTTTCACACTTTTCCTAGACATACATTCGCCTCCCACAAAGTCGAGGCTAAATCAAGACATAACACTAGACAATAGAGAAAAGATCTGAAACGCTCGGCAAGTGGATCATAGGTATACGACCGGGGTCCAGCTGATTTCCAGACCTGAGATTTCTGACCTGGCTAGGGTTCAGAAACCCTTGAGTACCAACCCATGTCTATATTTCTCTTTGTTTCTCCCTTTTCTCTACACACCTAGAACAGGCCTATATCCTTCTTTCTCATCTAGCAATGGCACGGGCCTCGATTGAGATTAAACGGGCCGAGAAGTTGAAATGAACTGGCGGATATGATAGACATGGTTCATGTGGCCACTGGTTCGATCAATTCATGATGTCTATTAAAAGACGACGATATCTTTCCCTAGCTCTGATGTGTCTCCTAGTATATTGATATAAACTTGATACGATCCCATCCCCTATCCTCGACTTCCAACTTTCATATTTTATACTGTCTCTCAAACAATCTCTCCGTGTTGGCAACCTGCAACCTGGGATATCGAAACTACAACAGTCTGGGGACTCACCTCCTTTCTCTTAACGGTTGAGTTGCCGACAGATCTGAGACCGCATTGCATTTAACGGCTCGATTTATAGCCCAATCCCGCCAAGACCAATATCTTAACAGCCGCACAACCGTGCCATTGCGAAGCATAGCTGGTACGCGAGAGTCACTAGAGGTTGTGACTACTCATTACAGTTATTTAAAGGGCCTTTCGCCATCGTCATACCTTACGGTACCGCGTTCTGGTAGTCAATTTTCCTGCTATCGTATGCATACGGTAAGTGATGCCCAATCAGTTTTAACCGTTCTGGTGAAACCTCTCCATATATAACAACAAAGCGCTAACCTTTCATAACGGTCAAACCTGCAGGTCTCCTCGAATTCTCCACACCTTATCCAGTTTATACTGGCCGACAAAGAGAAAACCTCCGGGATAGCGGTCGTCCACACTCAGCGACAACCCGCGTACAACACTCGCCAGTAGTTGCGGTGAAGCGTGGAAGACAATCTCATCTAGGTTGCGCAGTATAATCTGTTTAATATTTCTATTTTTTGTTTTCTCTGTGATCTATATGGCAGACGTTCTTGCTACTCCCATGCCGAAGCCATGGATTGGTTACCCGGAGTATACACATGAACCGGGCGACCTAATATCTGATTACTCGTCGGACTTCCTTGGGAGTTCAGATCGCTTTGTAAAACAATCTCCGTCTCACCATACCGATTGGTACTCAGTCTTCTGCCCCTCCACATCAAATTCCCCTCTGGAGTTTCATTTGCTCTCTTCCCCATCACTCCAAACACAACAGCGTCCCCGAAAGCCTTCTAAAGCCATGCTGAACCAACAGCATCGTTTGCCGGGACATCCAGCGCCTCTCATGGAGAACAGGCGCTATACGCCCCTCCGAGCGGAAGGCCCTCGCACTTCTGTGTATTCACAGAGTGTGTCTCCATTCGGGACACAGCTGGACCTCAACAGTGCCCTTTCGAGCACTGGAAGCACTTACTATGAATCTGATCTTGACTCACTTGACCACTGCAACAAGCCCTTCACCACACGCAATGTGGAAACACATGCTGGGCTAGTTCATCCAGCACCGCGGAGCAACATGTTCACGGTTGCTAGCAGTCCGTTTCGCTTGGGCACTGAAGAAGTGCCTTCTCTTTCACCATTTGCGGTCTCAGATACCCCACGGGATGAAAATGTTTTTTCCAACTCTCAATTCAATGTCCCAAACCCGAACATCGCCAACTATCCCATGACTTCGCCCCTCAACCATTACCCAGACAACAACGCACATCTCGTGCCTTCATCCATCCAGCGTCCAGATTCAAGGCTGGGAAATTGGAATGGGTATCTCACATGGTGTGACGGCGCTTCATTTGACGATGATGATATCTGGTATCCTACTTCTGCCCCTGGTTGTTCATCAGAGGATAGCGGCTGGGGAACCCGCAACGGCTACAGTACACCTTGGCCACTCTCCACTGCATACACCGGTCCAAACGAATACAGTCAACTTGCACCCCATGACTATGGACCGAGTCGTGGACTCCCTATGCCTCCTTTTGAGCCTATGGCTGTGGCCCGATCTGTGCCTACCGTGCCCACCGTCCCCATGAGCCACATCTCCCAATTTCCAGTTTGCGAACCCTACGTTCCCTCCATTGAAGTGCGTCAGTATCAACCCGAACCACACTCAATGTACCAGGCAAGACCGCCGACGGCTTCCCCTGACCAGAAATCACCAAAAAGCCTCAGTTCATCCTTCTCTGCCTCAACCAACGAAGAGGAACAATCCCCACAGCAGAGCGGAGAAGATCAAGCCAGCATTGAAACTGGATTACACTACACCGATGAGCGGAACACATTCCTTATCGATTGCAAGCGCCGTGGACTTTCATACAAGGACATCAAGCGAGTTGGTGGATTCAAGGAAGCGGAGTCTACATTGCGAGGCCGATACCGCACCCTCACTAAGTCTAAAGACCAACGAGTGCGAAAGCCTAGATGGCAGGAAAAGGATGTGAGTTGAGAAATTGTTCTGTATTTACTGCGCGATAACCCAGACTAACGTGGTCCCATTCTTAAAGATCCGACTCCTTTGCCTAGCCGTCACCATCCACACTGAAGAACACGATGCTTACAGCTCACTGGCTGACCACGGAATCAACATGAATCAGCCACCTAAGGTATCTTGGAAGAAGGTTGCCGAGCATATTTGGGCGAATGGTGGATCTTATCACTTTGGCAATGCTACTTGCAAGAAGAAGTGGTGCGAGATTCATCACATCATGCTTTGATTTGGTCTTCAATTGAATTATCCCGAAGGTTGAGGGTGGATTGGTTTTTTTTCCTTTTTTTTGCTTTTTCTGCTTTTAATATCAACTATTTTTTGCTTTGTTTCTATTCAGCTGGTCTGAGCTTTTGTGTTGTAGCGTTGTCTTTTGTATACCTTTCCTCTTGGTTACTTTTGAAAGTTGTAATTTTCTCTACATATAATTAAGATTAAGTTATATTGTTCTTAGCTGATATCCCAAGTGATAAATCCATTTTTTATTGGTATCTATCTGCGTGGAATCGGGCCACTCAAACCTCAAGTTTGGGAGGTTCGATATGACTTCGGGTTGTAGATGTCCTCACAGACATCAGCCTGTCTCAAGTCGCAAACTATTCTGCCACTTCAATGAAAATCACATTTAAATCAACTAGCCCTTGTAGGCTTTCAAGCTCCAGTGGCGAGAAGGGCCAGAAGTGGAACGAGCATTTACGGTGCATCCATTGGTCCAAGATGCAGCAGGACAGTCTCGACGAGCATCTTCCGACAGACTATCTGCCACACGCCCCTGGGAGGAGACACCTTCTGATCTTCCTGGATTCTGAGGGGAAATGCCTTAGCTACTACGGTGAGAGCAATCCTCCGTCGGAAGATAGGATTAAATTGGTATTGATTGCTATCTTAGGGCTAAGATGAAAGCGGTAGTCTCACCGACTTCCATTTCTCCAGCAGAAATACTAAAATACTCTCGTTTTCCGACCTCCATGATCTTCTCGATAGGACGGTTGTCAAACTCTCACTTTACGGCTTATTCCTGATAGAAATTGTAACCTCCCGAACCCTCTGTAATGTATTCAAGATGGAGATGGACTTGGAGCCGTTTGGTGGATATGTTAGCGAGTAGCTGGTCGGTCTCCTGTGATATCAGTTCAGGACGGTCAATCACAAACTCCTCGAGGGGTTCCTTGCGATGGAGACTTCGGACTCTTCCATCTGTATTGCTCCGGTCCATTCGCTAAATGTAATTTGTAGTGTAGATGTATCTTAACTACACCTAGCTTCTTTCTTCACTGCCATATATCATGCATAGAGTAAAGCCGGTGACAGTATCGGGTGATAAGTCGACAATCTAAATAACACCGACCTTCAGCAAATTACGAACCAACCAATTTTCAGTTGATCGACAGCTTACCCCACGATCTTACTCAGGCATGGAATTTCCATAATTAACTCGGTGGTTGGCGTTTCGGATTTCATTAACCGGGGCATCGATACCCGCTACCCCGGACGATCGTTCAATAGCCGTAGGGTAAAGAAAATGCAATAGCCGTCATGCACATCTACAACAGAGTCGGAAAAGAGATAGTTATAACTAATCCCGCCTTGCCAGCTTAGAAATAGAATTCTCAGAAAGATTTCTGCAATTTTTTCTTATAATAATTGCCCATTGACCATCATCAACTCCCCCAAACCCTATTCCAACCACCAATCCGATCTATACAAACTCAAAAAGCCTACGCAAAATGTCGAAACCAATTGTCCTCCACCTCGGCGACGACATCCGCTGGAATCATGATCAATACAACAAGTTCAATGATGCCTTTGAGATCCGCCGATCCTATAGCATGTCTCGGCCGGAGTTTATCCGAGCCCTAAAAGAGCGCCAATTCGGCGACTTCTTCGCCATCTACCGCCCATTTTGGAATACAGGTGGCGAGATGGGAAACTGGGATGAGGAGCTTGTCTCGCTACTCCCCGCTTCCTGTAAGGTGTATGCCAGTGCGGGTGCCGGATTTGATTGGGTTGATACTGCAGCTTTGGCGAAGAAGGGTATGTATACAACGACACGGGACAATCAGGAAACCTAGGGTACGGACAACGCCGCTAACATTCGTACTTCATCCAGGCGTTGTTTACTGCAATGCCGCCGCAGCATGCACAGAGTCCGTCGCCGATGCCGCCATCTGGCTCATTATCTCAACCTTCCGTCTGTTCTCTTGGTCACACGTTGCTGCACGAGCCGTGGATGCCGACGCCTTTGTCGACGCAAATCGCAATTTGGCAATGGTCTCACACAATCCCAGGGGACATACATTGGGAATCATTGGATTCGGTCAAATTGGACGGCGCACCGCCGAAAAGGCCTTCCTGGCCATGAATATGAAAATTCATTATCATGACATCGTGCAGATGCCGGCACACTTGGAAGCCGTCTCGAAGGCAACATACCACAAGGACATGGACAGTCTTCTCGCTGTTTCCGATTGTGTAATGGTTGCGACTCCATTCAGTGGCGAGACACTGCTCAATGCATCTTTGCTGGCAAAGATGAAGACCGGTTCGCGATTAATCAATATTGCTCGTGGTAAGCTGCTTGACGAGAGTGCTCTTGTCGATGCTTTGAAGAGTGGTAAGCTCGCCGCCGCCGGCTTGGATGTGCACTATGATGAGCCCCGAGTTAGCCCTGAGCTTGCAGCTATGAAGAACGTTGAGATGATGGCACACAATGCGGGTGCTTCGGTTGACTCACATATTGGATTCGAGAGGTTGGGTATGGAGAATATTATGTCGTTCTACAAGACTGGAAAGGCCGTTACGCCGGTTAATGCACACCTAGTGGCTAAGTCGACAGGTTCCAAGCTATAGGCAGCGTTCCTACTCAAATAGTACCATGATTCATTGTCCACCTTCCTCGTCGCGCGTTCTGGCGGACCCTATAAATTCTTGCAAACCATGAAAGCGATCTTTCTTTCTTACAAACGCCTCCAATCGTCCCATTCTTACCATCCGAACAAGCTGCTTCTTCAATCCCAATTTATCATCCAATCATCTCAAGCGTGTTCGCCCTTACATCTCATTTCTCTCCCAACAGAGCTTGCACCACAGCAAAGTATGTAAACAACCAATTGATACATAGTATCATCCCATGTATGAACCAATTGACAATATACTAACCTGCCTTTTCAATAGCATGAGCTCGCAGCCTGGCGGAGGCCCTCCCCCTCTCCCTCTCACCATCAACCCCCAAGTCAACATGCGTCGGGCCTATGAGGTGGGCATCATCAACCTCCGGATCAGCATCGAGCGCCGTCAGGCAATGGCCAACGGCACCCTCCCCTTCGACCTGGAGGAGTTCGAGGCGCTGAGCGAGCAGATCTGGGAGACCAGGGTTATGTTCGCCAACCAAATCCGCGGTTGGGCGAACCCCCTGGACCGCTTCATCCTCGCCTTCGTCTACCACATGCTGATCGGCAGCATGCCAGATGCGGACGGCGTGATCCGCTGAGTGGGAGGGGTGCTTTTCTTACGAACCCTGATCCAGGCAGGTGGCTGGTCCATCTGCCTGGGTCAGGGTTCATGAATGAAATTCAATTGCTTCGTGACCAATTCTTCTCTCATTATTAATAGTAAAGTTAAATAGATCTCAAAGTAAACTAAAGGTATTATGAGACTCAGTAAACATAGTACATATCATTCAGTCCGTAATCATTGTAGACCGCCGCCTTAGTTCTTCATAACTGCCTCAGGCGGTTGGATACGGCCCGGCGCTTGGATAATTGCCCCTGGGGAGTTAGGTCCAAATTGCTGCACAGGGCCTTCGTGTGGATGAATTGCTACTTGTACGCCGCAGTTTGTACAGAAGTGGTGGGAGTCATGACACATCTCCATACAGAATGGTAGGAATGCACAGCAGATTCCACCGAAGAGACAACAGCATACGGCTGCCATACTACCAAGTAAATGAGAGATCAGCATCATCCGAAGTGAGACCGAGCGAAAAAGTGAGGTTAGATTAGATCAATACTCACGATGTAGCGCTGGTGCTCTCCTTGTTCACCCTGGTCTGAACCTCGTGGAAGCAAAACGGACAACAGATTCGTCCCGGCTCTTCGCCAAGCTGCGCTAGTTGAATCACTCGATGGGCGACTGGAACTTGCAGACCAATTGGTGTGCCTTTCTCGTTGGTTTGTGGTAATGTAACAGCCGGTGCAGGAGTTGTGATTGCGTCTTTCTTGTGTCTGCTTCTGTTAGATCGGGCTGTTTTCTTTGGATCGGGAGCTGTACTCATTGTATTGTGGCGGAGGTCCACTTTCCGCCGGTATTATTGCCATTGGATCGGATGTCGGCAGTGATCTTGTGGCTGTAGGTTCGGGTGTCGGGTTTGCTTCAGGGGCTGTCGGCGCCGCTGTGGGCGGCACTGTGCTATCCGCCGGCACTGTATTTGGATCAATCGGTGCTTCTACTATGGAATCCGTAGCTGGTCCTGTAGTTATAGCCGGTGCAATTGGCGCTGTTGGCTCTTTGTTGTTTTCCATAGTGGGCTGTCCGTCCGTAACTAGATAAGTAAACAAAAATCAAGATCAATGAGTGCGAGGCAGTCGTTCTTAAATGTCATTTTAGTGAAAATGTGGGGTCCGAACTCAATACGAGAAGCACAATGTATCAAGGGGAAATTTGAGGCTTAAACGCCATGAACGGTCAAGTATGAGGGTCTACACGGCCAATAAAAGGGGCCACAAGAGTTCGACTACATCTTTCTGGCCAATCATGATGGATTTTGTAGAGATCACATGGTTGGCCCCCGGCTCTACGCCCCAGTACGGAGGACAGTCCCCGGCCTCGGACCCTGTCAATGGAGTTGAGTTAAATTGGGAAGATAAAGCATGAGTAATGAGTCACGAGCGACCCGGTCTATTCTTGTAACTAGTGCAGGGCATCTTGGTAGTTAGTCAAATGTTTCACTTTCGCATCTGGGGATTTATCGGATTTGTTGGTGTTCTTTTATGGGGTACAATGGGAAGATTAAAACTAACGATTATCAAAAGGGGACTGGAAGTATGGCAGGTAAAATCAGTCCAGTCTATACGGAACAAAGATCTATCATGTGAAAATACGGGCTCGTACGCATTAGGTCTAGTAATCCTAGGTAAGTATAGCACTTGGAGAGTAGATCCCAGACCGATTAGACGAGGTAGTTGTACCGTCTTCGCCGTCGCCCCGATGACTACGTTGATGGCGATTCATTTTTATTCACATAGGGCGACCAGCAGCCCATTTACTCTCGCCTCTGACAAAATAACGCATCTACGAGACTTCATTTTTACCAGGGTCCATTCCAGCAGCCACAGAAGCCTACATACCATCATATCCACTACCTTAACGCCCAGGCGGCGGCCAAGATAAATCGAACCGCCAATGAAACCATCATCCCCTCCCACGATGCACCCTTCGCGAAGAAGCTAACAGACATACTAGCATAGTTGACGAACATCACCGCCGCCATCGGGCTGCAGACTGTGAGATCTTGAACTTCCACGATAAGTTACAACTATATACCATCATGGCAAACAGCCTACCTCTTGATATCCAGCAAGTTAGTGACCTCTCGATCAGATCCATCCCAAAACACTCTCGGAGAAAGCTACATCTGTTAGACTATGGCAGGTTTACTTTCAGCAGCATCCGTTCGTTTTCCGATCTCGATTCCGCCGCTCTACAAACAAACGGACCAAAGCAATTGGGGCTCCTGGAGTCACGTGCGTCCAGCGGCATGTTCCCCTTTCGTTCAGATCTACATCAAAAGACCGCCGGAGAAAGCCATATCTGTGGGAAGAAGATGTTCTCTATCAGGGTATACGTATGGCAACGCCCGCCCCTTTTCCGAAGTCGATTCCGCCGCTCTACAATACAATGGACTGAAGCAATTGGGGTTTACAGAGTCACGTGCGACCATCCCGGCACCTGTGTGGTCCCGAGCAGAGTCTAGGGCCCTGGCATACATAGCGCTGCAGTGACAATCGGAGGTTCCGATTGTCCCAATGATCTTTTGCTCGAGTGGCTAAATGCTCTTCTGGAATCACGCAGATGCAGCAGCTGAGTTCCCGTCGTGACTGCACCTGCCTATTTAGGAAGGTGTTCGTTTCTGCGGGGTGTGTCTTCCTTGTTTCCGCCTTCAACATCTGCCCGTATATTTTATTCCGCTTCCTGCTTCAGGGATCGCTTGTTGTCATGGCTTGTGTCTGGTCTCGCTCAAGGTTCACGCCATCTACCAAAAAGGAGGGACCTGGGAGAGCATCGAACTATCATCCTTCTGCTCTCCTACACGAGTCTGGACCAAGGCTCTGTATTCCCATTGATCTCGTTTCCTCTATCTGGTGCTTTTCATTATTGGTCTATATATGGCCCTTGAAAACTCGTGATAGACGGGCAGGATGGAACCCACCCGTGGATGTCGCTGGCTAGTACAGTGGGTTGGCTTGGGCTGCTGTGGGCATCGGCGCTATTCACTTTTCTGTGACGGCAAGCAGTGTCGCTGGCACATTGATTGTCTTCCAAGTTTATCGATGGACTGACTGATGGTAAAAGTACCTTAAGAAAGAGGGCATCTCGTCCCTGCGGCTAACACGGGTGCTCCCGACAACCTCTATATAGATATCCCCCTACCTGTACCACGCACCTATTACTGGTACCCTGAGGGAACCTTGGAAGCTTCAGTGGATTACCAGATGCCTCGGGTACTACGCGAGCAGTGACTTGGGACGTCGTCCTCTGTGATAGAGACGTCTCTTTATCCTGTCCTTGTTACATATTCAGAATCCAGATTCTTCCATCTTCCAACTTCTCTCCAGATGTACGCAGTATATAAAAACAAGAGATGTATATATTTTCCATTGGAGGATCTTGATGAAATTTTTTGTTGATGATGGAAGTAAACACCAGCGGTCCGGTAGTCAATGTGCTATCCCAGGTTCGTTTTGCTGCATTCACTCCTGCTCTTGTACAGTGGCTGATAGATATAGCTTGATGCGCGTTATTTCAAAGGACTAGCCGGCGAGTACAGCTTCGTGGTCAAGTTCCGCCCGCAGAAAGCCGGAGAACAAGATTATCTCGTGCGCAGCCATAGCAGCCATTCCATGGGCTGATCTGTTAACGCCCAGATTAACCTTGACCCGGGTCGCTATCACGTTGTGATGAAATCAAAGCCTTCCGTCACGAAGACGTAGACTCTACCTAAGAGATTGTCCGCCAAGTTGCCTCAACGAGAAGAGAGAAACTGGTGCAAGTCGGTCTTTCATACGGCCTCACGCATGCGAAGGGACTAGTGGGCATATCATGTGGACGAGAGAAATAGAAGACTAGATAGTTAGATGTGTATTCAATTTATACACACCCAAGAAGTTCCATTTCCGGGTATTTGATTCAAGCATGCAAGTCTTCTACCACATCCACCGCGTAGCTATACAACAACCCCCAGGCAACTATTCACAGCGAAGGCCCACGAGAATCCGTACGAGGATATCCAATCGTAGCAAGAACCTGCATCAAATGCTCCGGGTTCTCACGTAAAGCATCCCACTCGCCCTCAGCCTTAACCATCAACGTCGCAGCAAGGATAGTCCCATTCAGCGAGAGCACGCCGGGGTCAACGATATCGCGCGTCGCCGCGCTGTCAACAGGAACAAGTGCCGTCTCCTGCCTGCGCGGGCAGATCATCATCGTCGAGCGGGTCATGGCCAGATTGTAGCTTATAGACGCTGGTCCCTGTGTGGGGAGGGACTCGGTATCCTGGCTCGGTGTTTGTCCGCGCGTCGCTGCGGCCGCAGCCTTGTAGAGGGTGAGATATATTGCGTGCAGGGTTTCAGCGGAGGGGTTTGAAGGGATTGGGAGGGCGAAGTGGGCGAAGGGGAGACCTGGGAGGTGCTGGAACTTCGGTGATGGGTAGGGGGAGGTTGGTTGGCTGGCGAGGAGGTCGATCAGCGGGTGCCAGGGCTCCGAACCTGGCTGACGCATTGCTTCGACGGGGAGGAATTGGAGATGGCGGTGTGGTTGGCTTGCGCCGCTGTCGTCGCCGGAGTTGAAGAAGGCGAAGAGGCTCTTTGAAGACGAGCCGTTCGCGGATCGAGAGCCATCCTCGTCGGTGTTCCAGGCTTTTAAACACTCGTATGTAGCTTCGAGATCAGACTTATCGAGTATATCTGTCTGCGCTTGCCAGTCTTTTGTCACGAGGAGGAAGTGGTTTGGGATGACGGGGAACTTGTTGAGGATGAGGTTGTAGGTAGGGTTCTCGGGCGGGAACTGGGCGATCAAAAGATCTGGAGATGGATTCTCGAAGGGATCGGGCTTTGGTGTTTTCGGGCCATTGTCGGGTTTCAAATTGGAGGGTTTCTTTGCCAGGGCAGGGCAGTAGCGAAGTTGGTACTGGGTTTATGGGTTAGAAGTGCCGTGGTCGGAGTCTTAGCGTCACTCACGGGTATCCCCGCAGCATTGATGATGGATAGATGGGTTGAGGAGAACACTAGATGGCTGGTCTCTTTCGCGGCTGTAAAGCGTCTTGCGACGAGGGTGGATAGAGATTCCGAAAGTCCTAATTGCATCGTGGAGGTTGAATGGAGTTGAGACCGGGGGAGATGGCAGAACATGGGGGCGGAGATCGGCAGATGGGGTTCTACCTTTCCCTTCTTTTAGGCTTTCTACTGTTGACAATATACAGTTAACTATACAGTTATACGGCTGTTTATTCAAAGAATTTAGAAGATGAAATGTTTTGTTTATAAATTTCCAATCAGACACTCATTGTAGTTTCCAATTAATAGTGTCTAGAAGGGATCCTGACCAGCAGGATCTGGCATACAGGCATATAAGACCAGCCTGAAGACAAAACAGACAGAAAAACAGAAGTCATTCAAGCATATCAGTCCCGAGGTATCATCCATAATCCGCATTCAGACAAATCGCTCATCAAGACGCCACTGCTGTACGGAAATATGAGACAGAAAAATAGACACGAAGGGGAGAAGGAAGATAGGGAGTAGGGTGTAAGAAGGAGCAAAAGGAAAAACACAAAAGTCGTTCAAGCCATTAATTCATTGATGGAAATCTCATCATCATGGGACAGTTCTGGCAGTAACATCGCCGGCTGACCCATAATATGAGACGAAGGACCGTTCATCCAAGGACCACGCTCCTCCTCAGTGGCACTCAGCACACCCTCAGCACGCCTCAACGTCTCGACGTCCAGATCGGTGATGTAGGCATCACGGTTTGTGCCGTCGCCGGCGCCACCGGGGAGTCTCATACGGACCTCGAACTCATTATTGAGCATCATCTCGTCTTTCCACAAACGGCGCTGACCATCAAAGACACACATAACACGCTTCTTGGTCTTCATGCTGCTGCTGGGGCATCCCCAGGACTGGGGGTAGTTGCCGCGGTTATTGCGGCGACGAGTTGGGACACTGCGGGGGGCCTTGGATGAATTCTTGGAGATGGCATTGCCAGAGCCGATAATAGGTCGGGAGGCGGGGATGTTGCCCTT